CCAAAACAACAGAGACCGGAACACGGTCGGCTACCTGTTTCTCTCTACCCCCCCTGCACCCTCTCCCTCCCCTGTGCACACTGGTGTGGCCTTAATGGGGTGTCCCTGTGTTGCCGCTGCACGAGTGCCTCGGTTTTGATGTTTCCTAGTCTACGCGTTTCTTGGGATCTCAGGACGGGCGACGACTGTCAGAGACAGAGACACTGCCGGGATCCAGCAGATTGAGACCCTGGGGGAGAGGTGTTTGTGGTTCGTGTGCGTCCATTACGCTGGCTGGCGGTTTCCAACTCGATGTCTCCGTGTCGGAATGCCAAAGTGTCCCCCCCTGCCTTGGCCCTGTGCCTTCTGTTGCCCCCAAAAAGAACCTCCCAAAGCGTATGCGCGTGCGTGCAAGCGAGAGAGTGAGGTGGAGGTGGAGACGTACGAGGGGAGAGTTTTGGTGTCTGTGCCTTCTTCCTTTGCGGTTTGCCCGCGTCCCCCTCGCGCGTCCAATGTCTCTTCCCGTCCGTCCGCAGCAACGCACTGCCTCTGCACTTTGCAGACTCGGGTTTTTGACGCACGCTACGCGCTACGCACAACAGCCACGGCACAGCGCCTGTGACGCCGCACTTGCAAACGCCTATGAAAAAAGGCGCCTTGGAGGCGTCTTGTTGTCTGTGGCGCCGCATATATCCCCAGGGTTGCATGTTTCCGTGTCTCTCTCTGGACAACACGACGCGGCCGGCACAACGCACGCACCGCGGCCAGCAGAGCAAAGACAGCAACAGAGAGAGAAGAGGCACATCGAGGTACCGTCCACGCAATGCGCACATATGCACACGTAACAGAAAGACAGAAAACCGATACACACAGAGGGTTTGGCGCCGTGCCGTGTGTCTGAACAGGGATGCAGGAATATAGGGCTTAATGAACAGAGATGAGGGCCAAAATTGTGGCCGAAAGCCGAAAGGGTGGCATGTGGGTGGCCATGGGCGTGCGTGCGGCGTCGTTGAAGCTTGACGCCTGCTGACAAAGCTACAGAGAGAGAGAGAGGGGCCAGAGGGGTCTCATGGTCTCATGGTACCCATGGTTGTGAAACGAAAAGGGCCACAGCCGACGCCAGCAGCCAAAAAAACGCCTGGGTTAGCCCCAGTACGCCATGGTGGAACACCGAGTGACAGCGGGGAGGGACGGCGCGAGGGCGGCGGCGGCGCACCGCACGCGCGCGCGTGGTGGACGACTCTCTGTTAGAAACAAGGGCGACCATGGACACGTCCACGGCCGGCGACGAAGGGTGCGAGCAAGGGAGAACGGGTGCGAAGGGCCCAGCGCAAGGGTTATTGGTTCATGCATGTTGGGCCCACCAAAGGGAAGGGGTCTCGGGTTGACGGACGCGCGTACGCGCGTGTGTCGCCGGCATGCGCGCGCAGGCGGACGAGAACAGCCGTACAGCAGCAGCCAGGTCCCACCGCAGCCAACACCGAGTGGAAGAAAGCGTGCTTGCTTGCTTGCTCGCTGGTCTCTCGCCAAGGCGGGCAGAACAAGCGAACACCTTCTTGCTTTGTCACGTACGGAACACGGCGATGCGGGACAGAGGCACACACAGCGTGTGCATTGTTTTGGCTGGGCCCGCTGCGCGTTCGCCTGCGCGTGCGTTCGTTCGCTCGCTCGCCGGGTTGCCGCTTGTGACGTGCGCAGGCCGCGGTACCCGACGGCTGGTTCTTCGGGAGACGCTCCAGAGACTGCACAGGTGCGCAAGTGCCACCCACACCCATGTCATCATCGGTGGGGCAAGACAATATTGTGCTCGGCGCGCGCGGAATTGAACCGGCGGCCGGCGGCCGCGCAGAGAAAGAGAGAGAGAGAGGCAGCACCGCTCTTTGCGTTGTGTCAATTCCGTGTTCTAGTGCATTAGGTTGCGCAGATGGCCCAATGTGGCTTCTTGTTTTGGTGTGGTGCGTGTCTTGGAGCTTGGAGTGCGATTGGATTGGATTTACGACGCGCATTTGGAGCGCTCCCCCCCCCTCATCCCCCAAAAAGCCTACTGTGATGCACCAAAAGCTCTCCTTGGCGCCATTTCTGCTTTGGGTTCAGCGGGATAACGCCGTTTCGCGGAGCGGTTAGTGTCAGTTGCGCGGCGGCGCGGCGTTGAGCGCAGAGAGAGAGGCATTCATTGAGAGGGTGCAATCGGCGGCGGGGGGCCAAGAGGACGCCGGCGCCTGCCAAATAATAATCATGAAAATCCAATCGAGAGACGTGCCATTCCGTTGGTCCGTAGAGGCAGTCGGCGGTTGACATGGCGGCAAGTGTACAGGTGTGTTTCTCGAGGACGGGGATGGGATGGGGCTGGGGCCGGGTGCGAGAGCCAAGGCATGACACCAAGGCATGACACCAAGGCGACACCAAGGCTCTCCCAACAGTGCGCCCATCACGCCGAGCTGAGCTGATGGGGGGTGAACGGAGCAACGCGCGAGATCTCCGTGCGCGTTGATGGAGAAGGAGAGACACGCCGACGCATCAAAGAGAACACCGGTGGCACACGACGGGCATGAGCGCAGAGAAGAGCCAAGCGAAGGGGCTCAGTGACGCAGGTTTGGGCGGCCGGAATGGGAGAGCAAGGGAGAGGAGAGACGTCAAAGAAGGCACAGAAACCAAGGGACCAACAGAGTATCCACCGAGACGTGCCGACCGTCTCGGATGAAGGGGAGAGGGGGCAGAGGGAGCAAGAGCGACGGCACTGGCCCTGCACCGGGCCGATTTCCTTGTTGGTGCAACTGTGGAAGAACAGCTCTGGGGGAGAGATGGAGGGGAGGGGGGGTTAGGGTGGGCATGGAGCGGTTTGGAACGCCCAATGACGCTGGTGGGGTGCTGCCGGACAGACCCACCTGGCGCTCATAGGCGGGGACGCGGGTATGCTGCGGGCAGGGCAGGGGGGCAGTTCAGGCAGCAGGCCAGCAGCTGGGCACATGTGGTGACGCAAACGCGCGCGCGAGGAGAGAGGGAGGGAGAGGGTGTGCACATGTGGGCGACACGGACGAGAGAGCGAGAGAGAGACAGAGACACCGCAGCAAGCCGCCCGAAAATATCCCCCCTCCCTCCCGCGCTAGCAGAGGAGGCAAGTGGCAGAGAGTGGATCGACCAAAGACGCCGATGTGGGTACGCACGCCGCATCTAGGGCTCCACCCTCGTCTCTCTCTCTCGAGCTCTCTCGAGGCCGAACACGCTCTCTGCTGCGATGCCAGCGGCCGAGAGAGAGAGCGAGATGCCTGAACCCTTTTTCTGGATGGATATTTTTCCTTTGCCCCCCCTTTGTGTATCTTTTTCGGCCTAGCAGTCACCCAAAGGCCACAACGCACAACGCAAGCAGCCAGCCAAGCAAGCAAAGCAGCAGCAAAGCAGCAGGCAAGCAGCAGCAAGCAAGCAGCACAGCGCACGCACACATCGTCTCTCTCCCCCGCCGCCGCTGCTCTCCTCGTCCTCCCCGTCCTCCTCGTCCTCCTCCTCGGCTGCGCTCCTTGCCCGCGCGCGTCCACCCACCCAAACCCCCCCACACCACCCACCACCTCGTCGTCCCTCTCGGCCGCTTCGCCCATCGCAGGCCACGACGTTGGAATTCCAACCCGCCGGGCCAAAAGAATCACCACACACGACTCTGTCGCAATCTTTTGCCCACACACACATCATCATCACACACAAGAGCATCTCACCATCGCCAACTCTTTCATTGCCGTCGTCGTCACTTTCCACTTCGTCTTTCCCAACTCTCGACCCCGTCTTTGCATAAGCCTCTCGTCTCCACCCCTCACACCCCCCCACCCACCCTCCGGCACATTCTTTTTCGCGTCGTTGCACCTCCCCCGCCCCTCTTCGCTCCCTCACCTCTCCCCTCTCCCTGCGCCGAAAAAAAACCGCGCCGACCTTTTTAGACCGAGCACCAACTGTCCACGTTGGCCACCCGCGTCTGCACCGCTTAGCGTGAGTGTCTTGTCTGGTTGTGAGCTCGAGCGATGTGGTGGCGAGGCAAGGAGCGTGCATGGAGGCAAGAGGAGCCAGCTGGCTGCTGGTGGGGCCTTTGTTACCTTTATGTGTTGTTATCTATTCCCTAATGGGACTGAGAGAACGACGACCTGGATAGGAGGATCTAGGGCCCATTTCCTGCTTTTTCATGCGGGTGGTGTGGGTGGGTGTGGTGGGTCGTCGTCTCCTACAACCCTTTTGCTCCGTCGCGCCCTGGGTCGTTGTTGTTGTTGTCGCTGCCGCCGCCGTCGACGTCCTCGTCACCACCAGCAGCAGCGACTAGACCGTCATCCACACCCACGCTCTGCCCATATGAATCCCATCCCCCCCCCGTCGGGCCGTTCCCCGGGCCAGGCCGACGCCCCACCGCACCAGCTTGCACCACGTTGGTCTTTCTCTCTCGCCAGCCATTCCAACTGGTCACGCACACCGGTGCTCTCGCTCGCGGTGCTGGTGCTACTGCTGCATGCATGCACTGCAGCACCTTGCTTTGCCAGTAGACACGCTTGAGAGCCGGGTTGTGCTGGGAGAGCACGATCGTCTGCGGCCGACGGCATAGTCTGCCTTGGCGCCACCGTGTCTCGCTCGCCCCACCCCCCCGCACCACACGCGCTTGTCGCTTGCTCTCGTTGTATGCCCCGCCTTTGATTGATTGCTGATCCACCATCCTTTCTTCATCCTCTCTCGTCACCACTGCATCCATCGTCTCCATCCATCCAATCCTCCTGCTCCCCCCCCGTGCTCCCACCGTGCCACCGCCTGCCCACTCGGTCGTATTTCACCTCATTGGCCCAACTCGCCTCCCCAATCCATCCCAACCCAATCGCTGTGGATTTTTTTTAAAACCCCATCCTCTCACATCATCACGATCGCCGTCGTCAACAAACACAGCCCTACCGCCGTTCATCGCGCAACCCCCTTCTAACCCGCTTTTACGCACATCGCTCGAGGTTCAGCCCCGCGCGCGTGCACCTTTTACTCGTTCCATCCTGTTCTCCTCCAGAATGTCCACCGACGCGTCCCCGCAGCACCCTGGGCACATGTCGTCTGCGTACGGGCAGCCGCCCATGGGCCAGGGCCCTCCTCCCCAGCTCAGCAACCTCAACGACTCGGGCAACCGCTCGTACCAGGACTCTGAGCCTTCGGGCTCTGGCGCCCAGTCGGCTCCTTCGGCGCCAGAGTCGCCTGCCGTGCCCCCACCAACCAAGGGCAAGAACGGTGCAACTGGCCCCGCAGAGGGCAAGCCCAAGCCTCACGTCTGCCCCATCTGCCAGCGCGGCTTCACCACTGGCGGCCACCTCCAGCGTCACCAGAGGATACACACCGGTATCAAGGCCTTCAAGTGCCCCTACCCGGGCTGCGAGACCCGCACCAGCCGACAGGACAACCTCCAGCAGCACTACCGTACCCACCTTTCGCCGACGCTTCGTCGCGGATCGGGTACCGCTGCCAGGCAGGCCGTCGCCGCTGCCATGATGGCTGCCGGCCTCAAGTCGACCAACTCGCGCCAGCCCCGCAAGTCCAAGGGCTCGCAGGTCGGCACGCCTGGCTCGTCGTCGGGCACTAGCGTCGCCCACGGCCAGTCGCCTTACCAGACCCCGACCCAGGCTGCTGCTCCTTACGGAGGCTACATGTACGACCCCAGCCAGCACGGCTACGCCTCGTACCCTCCTCTGCCTCCCCCCGGTGTCGGCGGCATGGCCCAGCCCCAGTCGGCCCAGTCGAGCCGCGTTCCCTCGCCCGTCAACGGCCACTCGAACACCAACTCGATGCCCTCTGCCCACCACCAGCAGTTTTACTCGCAGCAGTTCTCCCCGGCCTACGCTGGCGGCTACCCGGGATCCAACTACGGCCAGCCGTACCGCTACGGCCCCCAGACCTCGATGCCCTCGCCTTACGGCGGCGGCCCTCCTTCGTCGCACCACTCGATGTACTCGCCCGGCATGGCTCCCGGCCACGACCAGCAGCACATGTACAGCCCCCTCCAGAACAACTATGCCCAGCACTCGCGTGACTCGCAGTACTCGGTCATCACCCAGGGTGGGTACGCTAGCCAGGCTCCTATGAGCAACGGCTTCCCCGCGAGGACGCAATCGTCCACGCCTCTTTCTCAAGCGGCTCATGATGAGCTCGACCCCCGGTACCGTGGTACTGCTCCTCGTGCGCAATCGCCCCGTGGACGTCGCCTGACGCCTCCCCAACAGGCTGAAATGATCGCTCCCAGTGTCGTTGAGCATGCCCCCATGTCGACGAGTACTGGTCAGAACGCGGCGCCCCGCGCCTCGTATGGGAACGTGTCGCAGCAGCAGCAGTATGCGTACCCGGCCAGCAATGGCGGTGGTTACGCGTACAACGCTGGCGGCATGACCCAGTCGGGGCGTGATGGCGCGCCGGCCCTCGGCGCCCACCGCACAACCGTCTCGAGCCTCACAGAGGACACTGACTCCAAGGGTAGGGTCTAACACCTCGACCACGGTGGACGGGCTGACCCCAGGTGCAGCTTTCATCAAGCACGAATAGATGTGTTTCTTTTTCCTTTTTTTTTTTTTTTTTTTTCTCTCTCTTCTTTTCTTTCTTTCCTTTTTCCCCCCCTTCTGGTCTCCTCTTTTTTTTTCTTTTCTCTCCCTCCTCTCTCTCCTCCCAATAAACCAACAACTGCATGTACTGCCGGCTGTCCCCGGCATCAACCCCCCACCCCACCCCCACCACATCCCCTGTTCGCAAACCCACTGCGCCTCCCCTTCCCAACATCCTCTCCCTTCGGCATCTCCCTCACCCCCACCCACCCACCCACCACCTGGCACAACCCACAGGCCACGGACATTTCGCGATACCAGAGAGAGACATAGATACCGCCACATGGAGATTGGTAATCATGCATTCGTACCATGTCACACAGAACACACACAGCTAAGCGCGGGGCAAAAGCGCAAAAGGCGACGTCCAAGCGAGGTGTCAGTTGGGGCTGGATGGAAGCGAGAGCGGCAGAACATTTGGTGTGTTGGTGGAGCCGCGCGGGTGAAACAAGGTCGCAAACTGTCACTTGTGATGCGTGCGTTGGGGTGCGGTAGCCCAGTGAAGGAGGACGTCAACGTTGCGTCATTGCCGTCAGCAGCGTACCACCAGTCCCAGTGCCAATTCTCATGTCATGTCATGTCATTGCGGCATGCGGCATGCGGCATGCCTTGGTCCCAGGGCAGCGCGTGTGTGCTGATATCGGCGACCTGTCGACCTGGCGACATGCCAAAAAGTCGGTCCGCACCAGGGATGTGGATTACCTGCAACCTGCCAATCGCCCTGGCCGTTTCGCCGTTTGGCCGTCTGGCACGCACAAATTCGGAGCGTCGGTGCGTGCGTGCGTTGGTGGCGCGGCAAACTGATAAGAAGACTAACGGGCACGATACATCCGCGCGCGCAGAGCAACAGCGCGGCGAGCGGTATCGTGTCCTAGAGAGGGGGAGGCCGGGGAGGCGGGAGGGGTTGAAGGTGACCCTGTTTGTTGGCCATGGTGGCCATGGTGGACGCGCGCCCACGGCCCCCTCGTCTTCTCTCTGCCCGACTCTTCGGGTGTTGTGGCATTCCATCCCGTCCCATCGGACGCAAAGGGGAGAAACCTCTCTTGTCGGTCGGGACGCGACGACAAGAGCAGGGTCTGCGCCACAAGTGTGCCTCGTCTTGGGGGTCACAGAGAGGGTTTCACAGGCATACAGCCATTCATTTCCATCCTGGGCGGCGGCGGCGGCGGCGCGGGGCGGGCAAAACGTAGGTGGACGGGCCGTGTCAGGGGGGGTTAAGTTCATGTCATGTCGGTGGCAGGTTGGGTGGTGGCATTCTCGCAAGGCGTGGCCGGCGGGCCGCTCGGCCGCTCGGCTTCGTGCTCGTCGCCGCCGTCGTCGTCATGCACAGGACATGGGGTTGCTCTGCTTCCTAAAACTCTACCTGCAGTGATCCCAAATGTTGTCTACGCCGTACGTTGACGACGGCGGCGGCGACGACGCCGCCGTTTGCGCGATCCGGTGCCGCGTGCCGTAGGTGAGGCCCCGGCGGATCGGGTGCTGCAACGGGTGGGTGTCCTCTTGCCGCCTCCTACCATGTCGTGCTTCCAAGCAGAGATCCCCCTTGGCGTGGTGCGTCGCTGTGTCATGTTGACATGTTGGGTGAATGACCGTTTGGGCTTATGAAAGCCACTGTCGCCACTTTGGTGGTGGGATGTGGCACCACCACACTGGCCTGCTGTATGCCAACGACAGCGAGCTGGCCGAGCTGGTGCACTGCGCGGTACTGTTTGCGCCATTCTCAGCGCTTACATGCGGTCGCACGCGTTCATAGCCCGCCAAGTACATGCTGCACGCGTGCATGCTGCCTGGTCTAAGGACCCCCGGGTGATGTATACTGCCTCGTCACCAGAGGCCACAGAGTGCTCACGAGGTCAACCCAGACACTAGCCGCAACCTTCAACGTTCTTCCCAGACGCACTACGACTGGCCCAGCTACGCCAACAGCCACAGTACCCCGCTGCGCTAGCCGAAGTGCAGTCAGCCTGCCTCTAGCCTGTGGCCTGTCGCCATCTTGGCGCGCGCGTGGCAACGGCCCACAATGCCCAAATACATGCCTGTCTCCAGCGCCTAGATGACTAGATGAACTTGCCCTCGCCGCCCGCCGCGGCCCACGCCCGCTCCCCGGCCGCCTTCTCGCCCTTGCTCAGCATGGCAGCAGTCATACGCCAGCGCGGCACGGTCCGCAGCCCCGCAAGGAGGGTACGCGTCCACTCTTTGTTTTTGTCGTCGTTGTTGTCGTCGTCGTCGTCGTCGGCTACCGCACCACCCACCGCCGTGAGCAGCAACCCCAGCCCGTCGGGCTCGAGCACGGGCGCGACGATCCGCGCCACAGTGCCGGGCGCGTAGTGCCGCAGGTACCCGCGGCGGTGTTCTGCCGGGCAGCTCGTGAGTGCGCGCAGGAGGTTGAGGCCCGCACCGGGCGCGGTCGACGCCGGGTCTGCTGGCGGGGGTGGCGGTGGGAGAGTCGATGTGGATGGAGTAGGAGTAGGTGTAGGAGCAGGAGGAGGAGCAGGGACCTGCGCGATAGGAGCGAGTGGTGGTGTCGGTGAGGGCTCACGACGAGGTGCCGTGGTCGTCGTTGTCACTGGACGAGGCTCGGCGGGAGGAACGACATCGCCTGCGGCTGCAGGAGGCGACTCGCGGGCTCCAGCGCCAGCATACGCTGGCCGAGCGTCGCGCGACTTGCGCAAAGCGGCGAAACCACCCTTGGCCTGCAATGTCGGCGCCGGGGCTGCAACCAACGACGCTGCGCCCGCGCCCGCCTCGGCGACCTTGCGCCTGTCCTCCTCGGCGGCCTGCCTCTCCTTCTCCTTCACCTCCTCCTCCTCCTTCTGCTTCATCTTGGCCGCGGCCCGCTCCTTGGCAGCGGCCGTGGCGACCTCCATCTCCACCTCGGCGAGCTCGCCCGCCGCCATGGCATTGTTCGGATCGCGGGCCAGCACGGCCTGCAGGTCGCTTGTTGCGTCGAGCGGGCGGCCGAGGGCGCGGCTCGCGACGGCGCGGCGATACAGCGCCTTGAGACTGGCCGGGTCGCGCGCGAGTGCGGCGGAAGCGTCGGCTTCAGCGTCCGCCCACCTGTGGCTGTCAGCTGAGAACGAAGAGGAACATCAAGCAGCTGTGACTGGGAGTAGCCAGCGACGCACCGCTCGAGCTTGATCCACGCCTGTGCGCGGTTCGCCCACGGCACAGCGTCCTCGGGGTCCGCGTCGCCTGCGCGCGCGTAGGCTGCTGCCGCGTCTGCCCATTTGCCCTTGCGGAAGAAGGCGTTGCCCTAGAGCAGGTTGTCAGTGCCGGCAATGGAGGTTGGACGGAGGTCAAGAGAGGTACGAGGCAAATGTATGGTGACGAGCACGCACGCCCGCACCCAACATCGCACTCGTACACTCGCGGCCATAGCCCTCTCAATCCACTCACCTCGTCGCGTGCGCGTACCGAGGCCGCCTTGTCAGCCATGGCCCTTTTTGGTTGATGGTGAAATAGAGATTGTTGACGATGCGACATTGCAAGTCACCGTCGTCGGACGGTCATTCCAGAAATGTCAATGCGGGGCACCATATTCTTCTGTTGGCTTTTTGAATCCTCAATGTCCTCATCAATGGGCAATGACGACGACGCGTCGCGCCGCCGTTCGAGGTCAACAAAGAGAACAAAGCTAAAACCCATGCGCCGGTCCAGGCCCATGTGCGGGGGTGCACCCCTTTGTGACTGGTGAATGAATGCATGCAGTAGTGGCGCTTCTGATATGTTGTTGTCCGCCTGCTATAGCCTTTGCCTCCTTCGAGGGCTGGGCTCATCCGACTGCGCCTGGACTTGCTCTAGGTCAAGGCCGCGCGCGCGCGTCGTCTCCTCACTGATCACTTCCCTGCCCATGACAATCCTCTCACCTCATCGTCATCTCCCCATGACTCTACACACCCGGCGTCTACAACCTTACTCCTCTGGCGGGGGAGGGGGAGGCGTGTGGGCCAGTGCAGACGCGTACGCCTCGCCGTGCCCGACATACACGCCCCACTGTTTGCCGTCAATCTCGGCAGTGAGCGTTCCGTGCAGGCCGGACGCATAGTCTGCGACGGTGAGGTCGAGGCCGTGGCCCCAGACGCGCTCTGCAAACTCGAGACGGACGAGGGCGAGGCCGACGTTGGACGCCATCGGGTGCAGCGCCAGGATACGGCCTGCCGAGCGCGATTTCTTGCTCGCCGCGGTCGGGGGAGGCGTGTACGTGATGTCTACCGCGGCCGGGGCGGGGCCCATGGCGGGGTACGAGGCCGGGACGGCGGCGAGGGGCGAGGCAGAGCCATCTAGGGGGAACAGGCGAATGGGCAGGATACGCTTGCGAGTGGCTCCAGTGTGGTATGTGCGCACAGTAAGCTCTTGGCCGAGGTAGCATCCCTTGCGGAAGTCGACTGTTTGCGAGGTCAGCATGGGTGTCGTGGATAACAGCAAAGGGGGATGAGGCACTGTGGCGACGACCGAGTTCTGCCGCAACAGTGCGTCATTGCTCTCAACCATATGCTGTTTTCACTCACCGCCGCCTTGGACGTCCATGCAGCTCTCGAGCGGCAAGGCCGTGCCCGGGACGATCTCTGCAGAACCCTCTGGGACACCGAGGAACATGCGGTAGAGGTCGTAGTCGTCTGGCGTGACGAGGTCATGGTGTGCCAGTAGAGACGCTGTGCGGGGGTCCAATCAGCCACTGGGTAAAACGCTGTGCTGACTCACGCTTCTGGCCCTTTGGCACAAACAGCTTGCGGCCCATCCCATACTGGCCCCAGCCAGCACGCAGGTCCCAGCACCCCACCTCGCCGTCTGCGAGGTTGAGCGACGCGCGCTCGCCGTCCTCCCACGTCCACAGGCGCTCCGCGGCGCCGCCACTGCCAAACCGCCATGTCGCCGTCGGGGCAGGTGAGTCACCGACATCCTGGCTTCCCCATGCGCCCCAGACGTCCCACGCGTCGCTGACGTCGCGGATACGGACCTTGGAGCGCAGACGGAACGGCGGGAGGAGCTTGTCCAGTGGTGAGGGCTGGTCTGGGCCGCTGTCGTGCGCAATGAGGTACTTCGTCGGCTCGGTCGGGATGGAAAAGACAGTGTGCAGCACGCGGCCCTAGTTCGTTGTCAGTTGGGGGTGGGGTGGGGGTCTCCTCGTCCAAGAGCAAGAGCGTTTAAAACATACACTTGCGTTCAGAAAACCGCTGTAGCCGCCGCCGAGGGACTCTACGTCCTTGCACATCTGGCCCTTGAGGAACTTTTGTGCGTCTGGGCCAGACACTTCGAGGACGGAACGAGTCGGCAATGGCGCGGCCCGAGGGGTAGCTCGTGGTGGTGCCGCAGACGTGGTTGCAGAGGCGTCTCTTGTGGGTGCAGTTGCTGAGAGTGCGCGTGCCCATCGTGGAGCAGCAGCAGCAGCAGCTGCCGCCTGTGACTTTACGAGCATTTGTGCGATGCGAGTGTGTTGGTCAAAAGTGTGTGGGTGTTGTTCACACATTCCCCTCGAGTTGTTGCCGCCCGCTGTCGTAATTTCCAGCAGCCAGCGAGCGGCGGCGGCGGCTGTTTGTCTCCCTCCGCTCGCTCTCGTTCCGTGGATTGTCTCAACCACACACCCATTGTCCCCTCGTTGCATTCTCCCACTGCACACACACGCTCGTCGCTCCACACATCGTCGGCGTCAACCCACCCCCACCGTCCCGGTCCACCGCGCGTGCATTGCATAGACAGAGGCACCCCCCCGGCCGTCGCGCGCCTGGCACGCACGCTCAAGTTAAAACTTGGGCCAGAATCCGGCGCCCGCCTTCCCCCCGTGAACGCCTTGGCGCCTCCGCGCGCAGTCGGGCCGGCCGCGTGCAACACCTGTCCCCTCGGTCGTCTTGTCGAGCACTCGCGTCCACCCATCTCATCATCCTCTTCCTCGTCCTCGTCCTCTGGAAACACCAGCACGCACACACATCCCTTCCCCCCTTCCTCTCTACACTCACCCCACACCCACACGCCTGCCCGTCGTCGCCGCCGCCGCCGCCGCCCCCCCATCGCCCACGGCGCAGTCTCTGCACCACATGGCAGTGCATGGCCCAACACCCGTCCCCCGTCTGTCGGGAGACATCGCGCACGGTGACGCCGACTGGCTACCACCGCCTGCCATCGCCGCTCGTGCGTCCTCATCCTCATCCTCTCCCCACTCCTCACCACCACTCCCACTCACCATCTCTCCAGGCGGGGCCTCCCCACAGCGCGTGAACCCTTATCACTTTATCCACCACCCAGACAGCGACGAGGTGTTGCCGCCGCTGCCGCCGCACCTCGCGCGTCTTGCCTCGGGAGAAGCAGCCACCGACGACGAGGGCTCGTCGGACACCTCGGACAGTGAAATCGATAGCGGCAGCGACGACGACGACGACGACTTTGGCAATTTCCCGACACCCGTCGCAGCAATGCGCTCGCGTTTGGGGTCACCGTCGACAGTCCAAGCTGAAGGGTCCGCCACCGCCGCCAAACAGGGATCAGCAGAAGCTGCCGTTGCCGATGCTGCTGCTGCTGCTGCTGCTGCTGCTACAACCCCGCCGGCACCGCAACGGATCATGCAAAAGGTCTCGAACGTGTTCCGCCGCGGCGACTCGGCAAAGGACAAGGCGTCGCTCATGCTCGGTACCACACCGGAACGACAACGCTCGCCAATGATGCAGGGTCCTCCACCAAGCCCTCCTCTGTCGGACGCAAGTGACAACGAAGATGCGGCTTCTAGCATCGCTGTCACGGAAGAGACGGCCACAGATGACGCTGCGCATCGCCCCCGCGATGTTCAGACCCCAGAACCACGACCAAGTATGAGCTCACAACTGCTCATGCCTGTAACAGAGGCGGGGGAAAGCACGCATACCCTTGGCTTGGAAGAGCAGCCACCTTCGTTCGCCATGAGCCTCACTAGCGAACCCGAACGTGCTCGGGCATCGTCCCCCGCCGGCGAGGGGCGTGCCTCCAGCCGCGACCGCGATTTTGAACGCCCACCACAGCCACCATTCCTCGGTATCAGTGCTCCTCGACGTGTTTCGTCCAGCTCGACCTCGTCCCGCGCAGGATCTCTCTCCATGGTCCGCTCAGGCAGGCTAGCACCACAACGTGACTACCCGGGCTCGCCTGATACCCAGCGCACACTCGAGATCCAAGACGACCCTCGGGGGCGGCTCAGCACTGATGGAGCTAGCTTTGACATGTCCCGCTTTCCCATGCCCCTCCCCCCTCCCCTCGACATGTCGTTCCAGAATAACAATTCGGCCAATTCATCCCCGGCTTCCACGGGCAGTGTGGCACCTCGTTTGACTCGGCGCAACACCAACCCAACGTCGCCCATCCAGTCTCTGCCTACGGGTGGCAGCCGGCTCACGCACTCGGTCTCCATCTCAGCCAACACACCAACCTCGGCAGGCTATGACAACTTCAACCTCCCCGCCGACATTCTGGCGCAGACGGAGATCCTGCGGCGTGAACGCCTGGAGCGCCGCCAGAAGAAGATGAGCTTGATGGTCAGCACGTCCCCCTCCCAGGCGGAGCCTTCGGTGCCAGAGACCACCGTTCAGCGCAAGGTTACTGTCCGACGCAAGGAGACGGACGAGACCAAGGTTCTCGTCGGCAACCTTGTGGGCGAGGGCCACCGCAACTATGTGCTCATGTACAACATGCTCACGGGTATCCGTGTGGCAGTCTCGCGTTGCCAGGCCAAGATCAAGCGTCCCATCACCGACGAAGACTACCTTGCCCGCCACAAGTACTCGTTTGACATGCTCGGTAACGAGTTGACGCCGTCGGCGCGCTACGACTTCAAGTTTAAAGACTATGCGCCATGGGTCTTCCGCGAGCTCCGTGACGAGCACTTCCACCTCGACCCGGCAGACTACCTTCTCTCTCTCACGGCAAAGTACATTCTGTCCGAGCTGGGCTCGCCGGGCAAATCAGGCTCGTTCTTCTACTACTCGCGCGACTACCGGTTCATCATCAAGACGATCTCGCATTCCGAGCACGCCTTCCTCCGATCCATCCTCAAGGACTACCACGAGCACGTGCGCTCCAACCCGCACACGCTTCTGTCGCGCTTCTATGGTCTGCACCGTGTCAAGATTCCTCGTGGCCGCAAGATCCACTTTGTGATCATGAACAACCTCTTCCCTCCCCACCGCGACATTCACGAGACCTACGACCTCAAGGGCTCGGCATTTGGCCGCGAGTATCCCGAGGACAAGGCTGCCAACAACCCGCGTGCAGTCCTCAAGGACAAGAACTGGGTCAACCGCGGCCGCACCCTCGAGCTCGGTCCCGAGAAGCGCGCGCTCCTCACCGAGCAGCTTCGCCGCGACATGGAGTTCCTGAAGCGCGTCCACGTCATGGACTATTCTCTCTTGATCGGTATCCACAACATGGAGCGCGGAAACCGTGACAACCTGCGTGCCAACACCCTTGCCGTCTTCCACCCCAACACTGAGCCTGTGCGCCGCAAGCCGTCGGCCGTCAAGTCGCACGGCGAGGCGCACAACGTCCGCAAGGCCGTGGTCCGCGCCGACCCAAAGCGTCTCGACACTGTCGCCCAGCTGCCCCAGGATGGCTCGGACGACCGCCGCCACTTCCTCTTCTACCAGGACGAGGGCGGTCTGCGTGCCACCGACGAGCAAAACAACCCGCTCGACGCCATCTACTACCTGGGTGTGATTGACATTTGCACACCGTACAACACATCCAAGCGCATCGAGCACGCATGGAAGAGCATGACGGAAAACGCCGTCACCATTTCGTGTGTCGACCCCGTCACCTATGGCCACCGCTTTATCGATTTCTTGATGAGCGTCATGCGCGGTGGCGACCCGAACATTCGTCCTCCTGGACTCGAGACGCCGGCCAAGCTCACCGACCCGCACGCCCAGCCTGCGGTCGGCTGCGAACTGGACAAGAACCCCGTCCAGGGCCGCCCCTCGTTCCAGCAGTCGGTGTGCTGCAGCACCCGCCCGCTGTCCACCCCGCCGCTCATTGTCGAAATGACCGAAGTCAGCACCGAGCCCGTCACCACGACCACGACCCCTGTCCAGGGCAGGCAGCAGCAGCACTCCCTCCAGCCGGCCTTTGACGAGAAGAGCCAGTATCAGCAGCACCCGCAGCAGCAGCAGCGCATGGCCACCGACCCCGTCATTGAAGAGCCCGAGGACGGCGACGACGTCCCGACTGCCATGACCGAGGAGCAGGCGGCGGACGCGCACGACCTGGGCTGCGACGAGTGTGTAGACCACGAGCGCCCCGCCACCGTCGGCCACCTCAAGGCAGAGTAGGAAGGAGGAAGCCGTAACGAGACCAAGATCCATAGATGACGATAGAGGAGAACACAATGCTCCCATGTTTTTTTTTGAGGCCAGTACGAAGTACCAAACCTTTCCCCTTCCCCCTTTCCAACACACCCTCCTATCTCTCCTCACCACCACCTCAAAACCCCTTTTCGCAGATCTATTATTGTAATACCTTCTCTTCTCTCCTCCCCGCCCGGGTTCTTTGTGTACAGCATGCAAGCATTATTCTCTTTTCGTTTTCCCCAGAGTCGTCCCCACGTCGTCGCCACCGTCGTTGCCACGTCGTCCGTCTTCGTACAGGTATTTACATTTGTCTACAGCGCCACGCCCCACACCTATCCCCTATGAAGAAGAACAAGAAGAAGAAGAAAATAGCAAGGACAAGGGAGTAGGTGACACCGCTCGCGCCCGGCGCGCGGCGTGCGCGTCATACAGGACCAGGACCAGGCGTTTTTTTACTCCCAGTCCGAGTCCGAGTCCTCCTCGGTCGCGGCGGCCGTGCTGACCTGGCCCGAGACGACGTCGTAGCTCTCCTCCGAGTCGCGCGGCGACGCGGCGGCGCTGCTGAGCTTGGGTGCCGGGGCCGGGGCCGGGGTCGTGGCGGCGGCGGCGGCAACGACCGGTGCGGGGGCACTCTCCTTTGCTGCCTCCTTGGTCTCCTTGGCCTCTTGGGGCGCCGCGTCGGCGTCGGCGACCTTGGGGCCCGTGGTGAGGGTGGGCGTGGTGGACGCGCCAGAGGGGGCGGCCGAGGCCTCGGCAGCTGCCTCGGCGGGGGCATCGTCCTCGTCGTCCCATGAAAAGTCGTCGACCTGGTCCTGGTCCTGCGTCACTGGAGTTGTCTGTTAGCTTGACGGTATCGTAGCCCAGCAGCTATTCCTACTCACCCTGCAGGAGAAGCTTGCGCTTGGCGTCGGCGGCCTCGATCATGTCCTTGTGGAAGAGGTAGCGCTGCCAGAACTGCTCGTCCGAGAGGTGCTCGGGCACGACCTCCATGCGGATCGCACCGACGTTGGCCTCCTCGGCCTCGCGGCCGACAGTCTTGGCCGTGGGCCACTTGGTCTCGACCCAAGCTGCAAACTCGTCGCGGCGCTCCTTGGTCTCGGCCTCGGATGCCGGGTCGACGAGGAGGAGCTCCTTGTCCTCGCGCAGACGGCGGAGCAGGGCCTCCTTGCGGGATCCGGCGATGGCAGCCGACGACAGAGATGCGCGAGGGGTAACGCCGCCAGTGGCGTCGGCAGAGGTCGAGGTCGAGCTCGCGGCCGCTGCCGGCGCCGACGTCGAGAACGAATACCACTCGCCAGCGTCCCAGCCCGACGTGGGCACAAAGGTCGCGTCGCCGGGGGGGATGACACGGACATTCTCCTCGACCCACTTTTCGGCGTCCTTGACCAAGTTACCGCCCACACGCTCGGCCTGCTTGAGGAAACCCTCGCCCTTCTTGAGGTAATCCTCGGCGAGCTTTTCAGCCTGATGCAGCGACAGGGTGAGGTTTTCCCGCGCAGACGAGAGACGAAGGTTCTCTGCCAGCTGCTCGCGCAGCTGTGTAGGGTTGGAGAGAGCAGGGTTGGCCTTGGCGGCAGCGAGGGTGCTGGCCAGAGTCGACTGGAGGGTGCTCTGGAGCTGGTTTGTCGAGCTTGACAGACGGCTGAGGATGGCCTGCGCACCGGTCGCAGACGACGACGGGTCCGCCGCAGACTCGCCCTCGCCCTCGCCCTCACGGGCCTTGCCCTTGCCCTTGTCCTTGGTAGTTGTTTCGGCCTCCTTTTGCGCATTGTCCTCCTCGGCGCGGATACGGGCCTTCTCCTTGTCGGCTTCCTGTTCCTTCTCCCACTCCTCGGGCTCCTTGCGAACCACCTCCACCTTGGTCTCTTGCAGATGCTTGAGATCAGACTGCACCTGGGCCACAGTCTTGTCGAGATCCTCCTTGAACGATGTGAGGGTCGACGCAGACTGTCCCATGAGTATTTGCACTGTGCTGCGGGGGTCGCGCGCCAAATCGGGCCTCGGTGCCGCCACCCAGATCCCCCTCTCATCGCATCTCTGTGAGATTACTTACCTTTGCCTTGAATCCACCCCAGAAGCTGCCCAGGCCGCGCATCACCTGTCCGACCTCCTCCTCAAAGTTTCCCGAGTACAGGCCGTGTTGCGAAGCACGCTCGGCGATGGTGGGGCTCGTAGATGCGTCGGCTGCCGTGGACGCGGTGGCTGGCGCAGCCGCGGTGTCAGACGGTGTCGGCGGGGTGGCCTTTGCGTCGGTGGTGGTCGGTGGTGCTGGGGTGGCCTCGCGCGTGGGGGCCGGGGTCTTGTCGGACATTGTAAGCGCTGCGGCTTGCTCCATGGTGCGTGTGTAGCCAGTGCTTGAGAGATGGAGCGAGAGATAAAAGTGGAATGTCAAGACTGAATCGCAGTGCCGTTGGTGCGTCGGGTGGGAATGGACGTCACCGAATGCAACGGGGGGCGGGGGGGTGAGGGGGGCAGATTTGGTCCCGCCTGGCAGCCCCCCAGCCAGACGCCATGTGGTCACCACGTGGGATTTGCGTGGATCCAACTTATTACGTAACCATTTATATCCCCTGCCGCGACGCGTTCCAGACCCGCCGTCATTGCTGCTACCTGCCGTTGTGCGGTGTGGGTGCCTCATTTGGCCTGGTGGTGGTCGGTTGGGTGCTCTGGTCGTCTTCTTCTTCTTGTCTCTTTCTCCATCTCTCCCACAACCACAATACAAAATACCTGCACACTGCACCCCTCCACACCTGTGTCCCGGAAAACCTACACCCTTGTGCATCTACTCCTGCAGTCACCTCGTATCCACAGTCCCCTGCCCCGCCGCCGCCGCCCCCTCCTTTCCACTCCCCTTCGCGTAGCGTAGCCACAGGTTGAGACGCACCCGTGTCGCCGCCCACCATGGCGTACGTGCAAGACTCCCTGCCAGAGTCGCTCTCGCAGCGGTACGTCGACTATGAGCTGGAGCCCACCCAGATGTCACAACCGGTGTACTCGCAGGCCTCCCAGTTCCCCAACAGCCAGGTCGAGCCTCGTCGCAAGTACTGTAAGTAGCATAGCATCGACACTTATTGCTTGTAGCAAAGGGCGTCGGCGCAGCGTTTTTGCCACTAGTTTTGCTGTTCTGTTTTAGCTGACGCGACTGCAAGGGGCCATTCTCATCCCCACCAACCCCCAGCACGCCATCCTCAAGATCCCATGGACCAAGCACAGGCTCCAGATCGGACGCGGGGACCATGCAGGCGTGGGCAACGACGCCGTTCTTCAAGAGAAGCGCGTCTCGAACCGTCACTGTCGCATCTACTTGGGGCTGCACGGCGGCGGCACAGGAGGCGGCAAGGGAGCCACGAGCCACGCGCAGGCTGCTCTCGTGCAGGCGCTCAAGGACGGTGAGGCCGAGCCCGAAGTCTGGATCGAGGACATGAAGAGCAGTAACGGTACCTTTGTGAGTAGGACACACACAAGTGTGCGCGGTATGCTCGTCTAACAAACGCTCCATCCAGGTGAACGGGGTCAAGGTGCAGCCCCGCCGTATCCTCCAACACGGTGATGAGATCTCCCTAGGCCATGTCGGTACGGCAGACAACCACGAGGTGCGCTACATCTTCCGCTCTGTTGGCTGCAAGGGCGCCAAGGTGAATGCTGCGAACAACCCTGGTCAGGTGTACGAGCGCTACCAGATGCTTGAAACGTGAGTACACTGTGTGCGAGAACCGCTGCTGATGGCCAAGTCTGGGCAGGGGAACGTTCGCCGAGGTGAAGAAGGCTGTAGACATTGAGACGGGCGACCTCCGTGCGATCAAGGTGAGTGCGACAGTTGATGCGGCAGGCGCTGACAGCAGCAAATCGTCACACATCGCTTTGGCAACAACGACTCGACGCTCAACCTGTTCCAACGCGAGATTGACATTTGCATGCAGTTACAACACGTAGGTTCCTTTTCTCTTGTTCGCCCAACAGCATTCTAACCGAAATTCAGGAGAACATTTGTCGTCTGCTCGACTCGTACACGGATCCCCAGCAGATTTGCCTCGTGCTCGAGTTCATCGACGGCGGCGATCTGCTCGACTATATCATCAAATGGGAAGGCTCGGGCCTCCCAGAAACGGAAGCCGCCGACTTCACGTTCCAGATCTGCCGTGCCATGGCCTACTGCGTGAGTTAGATACAGCGTCGCAAAAAGCTGACCCCCCTCAAGCACGACAACGGTGTCACCCACCGCGATCTCAAGCCGGAGAACATTCTCCTCACCAAAGAGACGGCTACCCAAGGCCGTATCATCAAGATTGCAGACTTTGGTCTAGCCAAGATGCAGCACACGGACAAGACCATGCTCGTGTCCATGGTTGGCACACCTCAGTATCTTGCGCCCGAAGTTGTCATGCAGACCAAGGCCCGACCTGGATACGAAAGCGTTGTCGACTCGTGGTCTATCGGTATCATTGTCTACAGCATGCTCACCAAGGCGTTGCCATTCGACGAATCGGAAGAGCTCACCATGGAGCAGCGTATTCGTCAACGCTACGAAATGGACTTTGACCGTGAGCCGTTGCACACGCTCGAGATCTCGGACCAGGCGATCGACTTTATCGCTCGTCTTCTGGAACGCGACCCGTCCAAACGCATGACGATGCGTGAAGCTCTTGAACACGTGTGGCTCGCTGGACCATCTTCTCTTCCCAACGAGTCTGCCTCGCAAGTGCTGGGTGGCGACTCTACGTGGAACATCCAGTCGTTTGACAGCTACGATGATGACCTTGACGACGATGGCGACGACGCCCTGGACGAGCGCACGACCGGCTACTATTCGCGCCCCATGACCGAGTCTGTCACCAACCTCGAGAGCATGGGTTCTGGCGGCGATGGCGTTAGCCAGCCCATGGAGCAGCTGCGCCTCAGCACTGCGACAGCCCCTGCCTATAACGACCTGAAAATTACCAACGGCGGCGATGACGAGGACGAGCAGATGGACGGGTTGGCCGTCGCCGACAGGAACGTGCGCGAGATGACCGTGGCCATGGAAGCCGAAGCCAACGGCAACGGCCTGTACACCGCTACCACGGCCAGGCCGCCCCCCGTCACCGCCAGGACGAAGGGCGCCTCGTTGTTGAGTGTCAAGCGCAAGATGGACTTTTTCAGCTCGGGAAGCCTCTCGCCGCCGCCACCAACTCCCCCTACCGAGCTCGACGCTACCCCCAAGGTTGTTGCCGGCAGCAGCACTCGCCGCCTCACGCGTGCGACGACCGCCAAGGCCGCTGTGGCGACCCCCCAGACGCGTGGCTCCAAAGCCGCCGAAGGACCAACCCCGCCACGCGCAAAGGCAGCCAAGGTATCGGTTACGCAGAATGAGAACTGGCCACCACCCCGGAAGAGTAAGCGCCTGAACTAGGGAGAGACAGAAGTGTGCATGTGGAGAATGGGAGTCGTTTTTGTCACAGTAGTAGGACGGTTGCAATATGATACACCTAGGCATGGTCCTAGGGCATGGTTACATGGTCAAATTGTCTGGCAGCTGGGCTGTGGCATCGTTGGGGCGAGAAGGGGCGAGAGGTTGCCGACCTCGCAAGCTATGACTGGCCAAGCGACATGTCCATGCTTATCGGGACGACTTGGGTCTTGTCACTGGCTGCAATCCCGTCGGACCACGCATGCATTCCGCACCGTGTCCTGGCCGTCCTGGCCGTCCTGGGCAGCGCTCGTTGCAGGTGCCCCACAAAGCCGAACCCATGTGGGAGCGGATATTCCGTCTCGGTCGTCCATTACCAGGCGCGCCAAAACCCGGGCATAACGGCGACCTAGGTTTGTTGCCTCGATATCCCAATCCAACTCCCCCTCTCGGTCGTCTCGTTAATCAAAAGTTTAAAGACACAACACAACACACACCCACATCGACGAACGCGAACGCCCCACTTGCGCACGTTGGTGCGCATCTCAGCCTAGCTCTGCAATGAGCGAGCTCTTTGACTTTTCCCGTCTGGGGCCCGACGAGCTTGCCGCCCTCGCGTCTGCGATGGGCATTGGTCTCCCCAGCGCAAACGGTGTCGCACCTGGTGCCGGGCGCGATGCGAACGGTGCCGGACCGTCGTTTATGCCTGGCCCCTCGTCGTCGTCGTCGTCCCCCGACCCTCCCATCGCCACTGGCTCGGCGTCAACCGCACAGACAGCCGGCCCAGCGTCGACGGCGGCGGCGGCGACGGCAGCAGCAGCAGCAGCTGCGTCGTCCCGCCCGGATCTTGTCCGTCTCGCCGATGTCATCACCCACGCTTCTCTCGTCCTCTCACACCCGACATCAGACGGGGACAAGAAGAAGAAGTATACCCGCTCAAGACGTGGATGCCTTACCTGTCGTGGCCGCAAGGTCAAGTGCGACGAGGTCCGCCCCACATGCCTGCGATGCGCGGGTATGGGCCGAGAGGTGAGTGAGAAGAGCGAGGAGGTCATGAGCGTGGGCGACTTGGTTCCTCTGCTGACAACTCCTTCCCCAGTGTACTTGGGACAAGGAAGATCGCAATAAGCGCAAGCAGCCGGACGATGGCGACGGCGATAACCCACCTCTGTCTCTCCCGCCGACCGTGTCCGCAGCTCTTGCTGAGATTGCGGCGCTGGCGCCTGCGTTGCAAGCCGCACAAGCTGGCGGCGGGCTCCCACTTCCGCAGCCTGCGCTGCAAGCGCTTGCTCAGTTGATGCCCAGTTTCAACCAGGCAGACAGCGCAGCCAGCAGCTCGAGCCAGAGCCAGAGCCAAACACCAACGCAGTCGAGTAAATCCACCGCACCGACAACGACGACAACGGCGACGTCGTCCTCTGCTCCGTCAGCCGATTCACGCAACGTTCACTCTCCCCCTCTCCCCGTACCCTCGCACCTCTACCCGTGGGCCCTCGACCTTCCTGCCAGTGTCCCGGCTGGCCAGCAGCAGCAGCAGCAGCAGCAGCAGCAGCATGAGAGGGCCGTCAAGCGGGTACGCGCCGATACGGGCAGTTCCTCTGGGGTCAGTGCCAATGCCAGTGCCTCGAGCAGTGGCCCCGTGCCCAACCCCACCTCCAAGCCATCCAATATCCCCGTCGCCTACGGCACAGCGGCATGGGACGAGTTTATGCGCGCAAGTCCGTTTGGCGGCTGGACACCGAATGCGACGGCCGTGGATTCGCCCATGTCGATGGAGAGGAAGAAGTCGGAGTCGCCGCCCGACTCGGACATCATTGAGCTCACTCGAGACACGGTGACCGACATTGATGTCGTTAGGGAAGCTCCCAACGTACGTCTGGCGCTTCGTGGCCAGATTGCCCGTCGACGCCAGCCGCAGCCTGGTCCCGGTTCTAGTCCTCTGGGCGACATTGGATCAGTCGAGATCATTGCTCCACTGGCACGCTCGCTGGACCCCTACGCCCACGCCTTCCCCTCAGACTCGGCACGCGGTCTGTTCAGACACTATGTCGACAGCACGAGTGGTATCGTCACCGCCATGGGCAGAGGCAAGCCCGGCCAGAACCCTTTCCTTCAGGTTTCCCTGCCGCTTGTCCTGGCCGAGACGGCTTCACCTGCGCTTACGGCGTTGCGGTTTGCGCTCCTCACCACGTCGGCAGCACATATCCTCCACCTTCGCGGCGGTAACGACCCCGAGGCGCAGGCCCTGTGCGATAAGCTGAAACGCCTGGCTATTGGGTACACTGTCCTGTCCGAGAACGCCGACGCCGACAATGTGCTCGTGGTGCTCGCGGCATGCGTCATTATCCTCACGCGCGACGTCCTCAACGCAGACCGTACGTGGCGGCACAACCTCGACTATGCCCTCGCGGCCGTCCGGCGTCGTGGTGGGCCCGAGGCCCTCATGGCGCGCGACCCGAGTTTCATCAAACGTTTCGTGCTCGAACAGCTGGCTACCCACGAAGTGTTTAGCTGCTTCACGACGGGCAACGAGCCGACCTTGCTCACGTTGGGCGCCAAGTGGTGGTTCGAGGTGGAGCGCAGTTCGCGGTCGGCGTGGGAGTGGGAGAGTGTTGAGAACCAGTTTGGTATCTCGCGCGCCATGCTCGAGATTGTCGCGAGGGTGAGTTCCCAAGTCTCCGTCCAGAACTGACATTTCAGGTATGCTCGTTGTGTGCGCGCCGCAACCGTCTCGGGCCCGACGCCAACCTCGACGACGAAGACCTCGCGCCCGTCGCCAGTTTCCTGCGCGACGAGGCCGAGACGCTCATCACCGAACTCGAGGCATTCGGCGTCGCCCTCCGCTCCTTGCCCTACCACCGGCGCGTGCAGTACGGCGACCACATTTACCGCATGACCATGAGCCTGCACCTGATCACCGACATTTTAGGCTTGCCAGCGTCCCACCCGCGCGTGAGGGCCATTGTCCCCGCCGCGCTGGAGCTGTGCTCAGAAATCAGCATGCAGCCCGTCATGCTCGTGTGGCCGCTTCTGTGGCTCGCGAGGGTGTGTAACATGATGGAGAGGGAGTGGCTGAGGGGACTGCTGTCGTCGTATGCCGACCAATGTGAGTTGCGTCACGTTTGGTGTGAGCTCACAAAACAGACTGCCGCGACCTCCAGATCGCACAGGAACTCATTTACGACGTGTGGGCAAAGCAAGACAAGGGAGAGCCGTTCCATGGGTGGCACGTGCTCATGGCGGAGACGGGACGGGATGTGCTGTTAATCTAGTGTGTACATTGTAGGGAGCATGGAAGGAAGTCACCAAAAAAGGGAAGCGTTGTTACTCTGCATCAGAGTGGAATAGTCTACATCATTCATCTACATGGTCTTTGTTGAATTGTCTATAGGGGGAACAAGGTCTAGTGCATCTTCTCTGCGATTTCCTTGTCGGCCACCTGTTTGAGGATGGCGAGCTGGTTGGCGACGTCGCGCAGCGTGTCGAGAACCTGGCGGTTACCGTCGAGCCAGCCGTGTTCCATATACTCGATGTCGTAGGCCTTGCAATAGTCCTTGACGAGCAACGACGCCTTGCGGAGGTTATGCCTGGGCAGGCGCGGGAAGAGGTGGTGGGTGACCTGGAGGTGGAGGCCGCCGTGGACAAACTCAATGTCTTCGCCACAGACCACGTCCATGGTCGTGCGGAGTTGGCGGGACGGGAACGATTCCAGTGGGCCGAGGTCGTCTGTCGAGCAGGCAAAGTGAGAAAGCACAATCTGGACGTGGACGGGCGACGCGCACACGTGCGACACGACAAGGTAGCCAAAGACCATGCCCCATGTGGGGAGGGAACGGAGCATGGAGCCATAGTAGAGCCAAAAGAATGCGAGTCCCGACAGCTCGTACTTCCAGAAAAAGTCGTGCTTTACCTTTTTGCCGAACAAGTGCATGTAGCTCAGGACGTAGAGGTTGAAGCGGGCGAGCGAGAGGACGATATAGTACAGCCTGTGCTGGATGGGGATCATGTACTGGCTAAACTTGTCCAGCCACATGATACGCTTGTAGTATGTCGACCAGAGGTTGCGGAAGAACTGGACCGAGATGGCAAAGAAGGGGATATGCTGGATATCCGGGTCGTGCTCTGGGTGGTTGGTCACCAGGTGGTGAATGTCGTGGTTGTCGCACCACCAGCCAGCGGACAGGCCGCCAATCCAGTCGGCGACCGTCATGGCCAGCATACGGTCCCACCACCAGTTACCAGTCACGCCACAGTGGCATGCGTCGTGGACGACGACTGAGACAGTGTCAGTTGGCAAGTCATTTGCAACAGTCTTTTCCTTTCAACTCACAGGTAAGCTGCTGCCACATGAAGCCCAGAAGCGCAGCCGACGCCATCTGTCCGGCCCAACCCGTCGTGCCAAAGAAGAGCGCCAGGGAGCCACCTCCAAGCAAGAGGTAGCGGACAATGTCCTTGCCGTAGCCGGAAAGCGGGCCAGGGGGCACAAACAGTCCAGCGTCGACGACCTGTTTCTTGAGGTCGTGGTATGCCTTGGACCTGGTACGCTCCACGCGCCTGTCCAGTCCTGCTGGGACAATGACAGGCTCGAGCTGCTCGGCAGTGAGGGTAACCACGTCATCGAGTGCGCTCTCGCTCTCGGGCACCAGGCCCTCGGCTGCAACCACACGTCCCTCGCGCGCCCAGTGGCCCTTGATCCCGTCCGAATGCCTCACAAGGCCCAGCGCAATGGGCGGGGTGAGCGGTTTCCAGCCGACCTCGTCGTCAAAGTCGCTCGCGACGCCGACAGCGTATTTGCGCATGTACTCTAGCGTCGCGTCGGAATGGTACGCGGCCATTTCATCTTCAGCGTCCCGGCCGACAAAGTGGAGCAGCGCAAGTGCTCCTCCCGGGTGGCGGGCCGACCATGCCGTGACGTTGAGGACGAGGGGGCCCTTGAGGACGAGCGCCTGGCCGGAAGCGATACGGGTCGCGATTTCCGCGCGAGTGAGTGGTGGGAGCTGGCGGGGTGCACGCTTGGCTGCAGCCGAGGCTGCCTGGGCAGCGGCAGCGTCCTCACCGGCGTTGAGGGTGAGGATTTTGGCCGACAGTGGCTCTGCCGGGGTGGTCCTTGTCGCGATCATGATGGTGCGATGGTTGGAAACGAACGACAAAGAGAGACCCACAAAGTACGACAACGACTGTCTCCCCGGCCCCCGGCGCGCCCGGATTACCATCGCACGTTGCACGACGCGTGGAGGTGCGCGGGCCAGGCACTGAAAACCGGGGGGGTCATTAGAAACATAAACATCCGCTAATCAACAGTGTAATGTGACTAATAAAAAAGATTATAATATTAGGCCGATCACCACGTGGCACCTAAATGTGGCATTAAGGCATTCTGGTGGCACCCAACGACATTGCGTGCGTTAGTGGAACCTGTTACCTGCCCCAGTTTTGCTTCTGAAGACGTTGCATTTGGTGCAGATTACATTGTCCTATTATGCTAAAATGGTATTGCAGGTTGGGAGAGGGGGACAGCCGTCCAGGCGCTAGACACGCGCGAGCAATGACGGACTGGTCCGGAAGCGAGCCCAGCAGGCAATGAGCCCGCCAACGATCTGGAGCGCCCCCATAGTGATGATCATGTACTTGAACGTAGTCCTTCCCGTAGCATCGTAGATTGCGCCGCCCATGGGTCCCGCGACGAGGTTTCCTGGCGAGTTGAAGAGGAGCAGCAGGCCGACGTTGGACGCCAGTTCCGCAGGGCCGAAGAGCGTCACGACGATTTGTGGCAGGATGCCCAGGTATCCCGGAGCCACGAGGCCATACATGACGCCAAAGACGCAGACGGACGCGTACGATTTGGCCGTAAGCCAAAGCGACAGCTGGATGACGCCGGAGAGCACAAGCACGCAAATGTACGTGTTGAGCGCACCGACTTTATCGGCGGCCAAGCCCACAAGCCCACGGCCAACAATGACGCTAAAGGACAAGATGGTAAGTGGGGCAGTCATGCCCATGGTGCTTGCGTCGGGGAAGTGCAGGGCCACCCATTGGGTCAAAAACGTAAAGGGAACACCGTATCCGAGAATTCCGACGACCAAGGACATTGCAATGGACCAGAATTCGCTGTGCTTGAAGGCCGCCACGTTGATCAGTGAACCGCGGCCGTGGCTGGCTTCCGGGGAAGTGGGGCGGGTCCGGATGAGAGCGATGGAGACGAGCATGCCTGCGAGGTTGACGAATGACATGATGCTGCGGGGGGGCAAGTGTCAACGATAAACTCGTTTTGACGCCACCAAGCCGTACCCTCCCAAAACTCACAGCAAGGTCTTGCTCGCGCCAACCGCTGTCAAGAGCTTCCTCACGACTAAAGTGCTCACACCACCACCCAATCCAGCACCGCCCATGGCAATGCCGCTCGCCAGTCCGCGTTTCTTGTAAAACCACTGACTTGGGAGACTCATAAACAAGGGGAAAGCAATGCCCTGGCCAATACCGGTAATGACACCTTGGCACAGGATGGTGCTCCACAGAGCCTTGCTGAACGAGCAGCAGAACAGGCCCAGCCAGCTGACGATGGCGCCAATGATCATGACGCGCTTGAAACCGAAACGGTCGCCCATGCGGCCAGAGATGAAGGACGTGGCACCGAGGAACTGAGCGTCAGAGCCGAGTCCTGGTTGTAACGACTTACAAATCCTTGGCAGGTTCCTGCTAGGCTGAGAACCGACGTGTCGGCGGTGGGGAAGGTGTACTCGGCATAGTACTGTGGTCGTCAGTTGGCGGCACATGGACCTGCTATGCGACCCCGTCTGGGGCCCAACGTTGGTCGACCCACCTGCTGGAACACGCCATAGTTCATACCCCACCCGTTTGTCAAGGCGCACAGTGTCGTGCAGCAGGCAACCACCACCCAGCCGTACCCGCCGTCCGGATACACATGTGCTTCAATGTTAATATCCACCTCATCGACCTCAGCCTGCCCGGCTTCCGCCTTGGCCGGTGTCGACGCAGTCACGTCGAGGACGAGGGTACCCTTCTCGCCGTCGTGGGAGGGACCTGAATGCGTCTTCTGCACCATGACCCGCTCGTGAATGGCCGGGGAGCCCGTATCCTTCGGCCCCGCATTGAGGATATCGTCTTCTATGAACACGGCGGTAAACTTTTCGTCTGTAGGACTGCCAGCAATCGCCTCGGGGCGGCCATTGCCGTTGGTGTTGCTGCTGCCACGTCTTCCTGATGTCGTGGTGCACCGCGTCAGGGGTACTAGAGTGGGTCGGACGGCTGTACTGCCACTCCTGCTCCGTTCTCGAGCCAGTGAGCGGGCAGAATGTTGGGTGGCGATGCGGACGAGGGGACCGCCACCGCCTGCTGAGGCGGGGTCGAAGAATGAGATGATGTCGGGAGGGGGGATGGGCGGGGCGGTGGGAGCCGGGGTGGGAGTGGAAGTCGGTGCATCTTGGGTGCTGGCGGGGCCGCTGTGATAGAGGGTGGTGGTGGTAGACATTGGCGTGGTGGTGCGGGCTAGGCTTAGTCGGATATGTGTCTCCGTATCCGATGGCTCATCATCGTCTGTACTAGACACCGTATGTGCGGGAAGGGGAGCAGTGGGGGCTGTGGTGGCCACATGTTCAGTACTAGGCGTGGTAGAATGGCTCATGGTGGGCGTCTTGTGGCTAGCAGCAGTCAAAAAGGTAGGACCAGATGGGGGGGTGCGCGGGGGATGGCGCTGTTACCGTCTTCGCCTCGTTATGCGGTATAAGTGCGTTAGGTATGTGCTGTGATGAATGCCATCGCGTGTGTGGAACAGGCCAAATCGGTGTAATGTGCGTGAGGGACAGGTAATTGCCGTGCGACAATGGCAATGATCCCAGATGTGATTTGTCTTGATTGACTCGCCTATTCGTGTTTGGAGACGGTTCTGGCGGGTCTGGCCCACAGCCTCCCAATCAGCGCCACGTACCCTCGTGATCATCTCGCAGATGACCGGCGCAGTACACGTCCTGGAACGAACAAAACCAAGGTGGACGAGCAGAGGAACAGTAGAAATGGCCGCGATGTCGGATGTAGGTGAGTTTCTCGTCTGCTCTTTCACATCAGCCACTGCGCTCGCCCCCGCCTTCAAACGCCTCAGCACTATGATATGTCATACCAGGCCACCTGAGATGAGTATATGTCATGCGCGGCATACCGAGAGTTGCCGGTCCCGCGCCTCGCAGGTGACAGCAGAATGGCGTGGGATCCAAGGACTTGTGGACGAGTGAGAGGTCGTGAACTGCCATGCTGGTCAAATGTCAGTCGGTCGTGTCCGATACTCCGGTCCGTCTGGCCGGCCCGTCAAGTGGAGGCCGTAGATGGTGCTTGGACGCTGCTGTACATCATTCATGTCGACAAGGATGACTTGTAAGAGTGTCATGACGACGTGAGAGGCAAGAGGCATAACACAGCAAAGTGTTTGCTTGGCTGCTCGCTTGTGGCAGTGCAGGGCGACCGGCGTCTCGGTGAGGTTGTGCGGCGTGTCGATGGTGGCGAGCAAAAGTGACCGAGAGGACACGGAGATGCGCGACGCCGTGCGGTGTTCATCAAGCAGCTTACGTAAAAAATTACCCGTAATTACAGCGGGATGTGAAATGGCTATTTGAAACCCTTTTCCAAATAAAGGAAATACCTGATTAGGTTAAAGGATGTAACACTCATTTGAACCACTGTTTCTAATGCACATTATCCTGTGTCTCACAAAATCACGTGACCTATGACGCGCTGATCGCACGCTGCTGCAACGAGTTGCCCATGCGGGTCCACCAGCGCGAGTCCAACCATCCTCTCGCATCAATCAATGCAAGTAGCGCGACGTCTCTCTGCTCGCATCTTCGTCTCACCTCCCACAACAACAACAGCAACAGCAACAACTCTTCGACGCACAATGGCCTCCTTCTCCACTGTCAAGACCGCCGATGGCAAGGGCAACAACCCTTACCCGCCGGCCGCGCCTTTCGACGACCGCATGCTCAAGGTCTCGGACATTCACACCATTCGGTATGTGTAGACGCTTGCCACACTTCCCAGCATTTGCTGGGAAACGAGACTGTTCAAAATAGCTGTGGTTGCGCTGGGATGTGTTGTTTGCAGGCGTACTGATAACGATAGCGTCTGGCAGACCGGTAACCCCAACGGCAAGCCTGGTAGGTAGCGTCCTCCTGTCCCACAACACATGACCTATACCTATACTGACTCCCAGTGATCTTCCTGTAAGCTGCCTTTATGCCTATAGGCACACGAATACAACCTTGCTGACTCGTGGATAGCCACGGTGGCCCCGGCGGCGGCACTTCGTCCTCGGACACTGTCTACTTTGACCCGGCAGTGTACCGCGTCGTCCTGATGGACCAGCGCGGTGCAGGCCGCAGCGAGCCGTGAGTCCACTTTCAGTCCACTTTCACACAGCTGACGGTGTAGCACCGCTGAACTGCGCGAGAACACGACGTGGGACCTCGGTATGTAGCTCCCTGCACTCGCACTGGCGTGTGTATAGCTGAGCTGACTTGAATTCCCAGTCAAGGACATCGAGACCATCCGTAAAGAGCTTGGTATTGACAAGTGGCTCGTGTTTGGCGGCTCATGGTAAGCTGTTCGGAGGTCGCCACCAGCTCAGCTAACTTGCAGGGGATCGACTCTGTCGCTCGCGTACGCCCAGACGCACCCCGAGCACGTTGTCGCTCTTATCCTGCGTGGTATCTTTCTCCTGCGCCGTTCAGAGCTTGAGTGGTTCTACCAGGACGGTGCCAGCCGTGAGTATGGAGTGTAGTTCAGTTGGCTGCTGGTAGAAGAGTGAGCTGACGGCATTAAGACGTCTGGCCCGACGCGTTCGAGAAGTACCGCGACGCCATTGAGCCCGACCAGCGCCATGACCTCATCTCGGCGTACTACCGCCTCCTGACAGACAAGGATGACACCATCTCGCTGCGCGCTGCCAAGGCATGGGCCACTTGGGAGGAGAGCACAAGCAAGCTCTACCAGGACCCGGCCATGGTAGCCCTTGCGGACAATGATGTCAAGTGGGCCCGGTGAGTAGAATGGGGATGGCTTGAAGGACAGCGGCGGCGTGCAAAGTTGCAGGTGCATCTCGGCGCCGCCCTTGTCTGGCGTTGCCTCGGTGGATCTGTGCCGCTCACCGTCGCCGCCCTTGTTGAAGTCGCTCCCTGTCCTCCGCCCCGCCCCTCCGCAGTCTCGAGATCATTGCTGACGTGCAGCGCCTTTGCCTCCATCGAGTGCCATTACTTGTGAGCTACCACTCGCATGGCAACGCAATGTCATGTAGCTGACCTCTGCAGTGTCAACGGAGGCTTCTTCCCCGAAGGCCACCTCGTGTCCGAGGCGCAGCTCGCCAAGATGTAAGTGACGCAAACGGGGGTGGACTCTGTCGCGCGCAGCCTGCATCCGCGCGCAGCTGAGACGCCCCAAAAGACGAAACGCACTGCAGTGCACGCTAACACTGTGGCCGTAGCCGCCACATCCCCACTGTTGTTGTGCAGGGCCGTTACGACTGCGTTTGCCCCGTGAGTACTGGCCTCGGATTGCGGGTTTCATGGAATGCGGTGAATGGTGGTGTGGTTTGCGACTACGCGACCGAACGTCTAGAGCGCCTGCGAGCGAGCGAGCAGTGTGTGGAGGTCACACTCCACCCCTCATTGCTCGAGGCTGTGGAGAGGGCTGCTGCGACCGGACCGGTGGCCGGTGGTACCGGGTGTGGCGTCTGGGTGCGATCCGGCTGGCGGGTTGAAACGCGCCGCTTTTGCCGCGCCACAAACGCACTGGCGCACAGTGTCCTTTTCTGCGGTCCTGCATGTCCTGAAATCGAGGAAAAGGACCAAATGGACGGACGGACAAGACGAACTGTGGTCCTGTGGTCTGTGGACGGGGCCGTCAGTCCTTGGGGGGTTATCGCTGGCCACACGTCCGTGGCCGGCCCGCGGCTGGGGACGAGTTGTGGACAGAGCGGCGACGAATCAATTTGCTGACAACTGTGTCCAGGCAAAGTCGGCATGGGACCTGTCCAAGGCCTGGGGTGCGGGTCTGCGCCTCACCATTGTGGACGATGCGGGCCACAGTGCGCAGGAAAAGGGTATCAACCGCCTGCTTGTGGCCGCGGCCGACGAGTTCAAGGCTCTGCAGTTCTGAAAGAGTGCGAGCGAGCAAGCGTGCGTGGCAGCGTTCCGGGAAACTAGACCGTGGGTAGTATCCGGTAGACAAGGAATTTAGGTTTTGCAGGTTACGCAAGAGACAGGGGGGTGGGAGACTGAGATGGCTGCGCGCCATGTGTCCGCTGCGTATCTGTTGCGAGACTGCGCAACACCAGTGTACCCAGTGTGTGTCAACAACAACGATACGAAGTGTGGTGGACTCCTCCCTGCATGGCTGCGGACTGGCTAGGTTCACACAACATGCATGTCATGTGCCAAGACCCCCGCAGTGCGCTGTGGGCCGGGAATCCACCAGGGGTGGTGTGGGCCATGGGCCAGGAATAGGAACTCGTGGACACTGGTGTCTTGTTCGAGTCGGTCAACGGGACGGCTGCGAGGTGAGAGCGACTGGGCGGACGCCTCCCGCAGTTGTGTCTGATCCACCGGTTCCGTTGGGTCTCCTCCTTTTTTTTCTCTTTTTCCTGCAATGGTCCTGAAGGCCGGTCAGGCGACTGGCTGCTGCAGCTGACTGGCCGCTTGGGGGCTGGGTGACTGCGCGAGAGGAGCGACGGCGGCGGCGGCGGCGGCGGCGAGAGCACAGGCGTGGATTTCTGGGAACCCCCAGGGCAGAGAGGCATTCGTTCCATGGGTGTAATGTGCCCCGCAGCCGAAGCGAACAGCATGCAGCAGCAGCAGCAACGAGATGGGATGGCCCACAGCTACGCAGGTCTCGACTCCAACAGGGACGCGGCAGAGACAGAAGATGCATATGCAGCACTGCATAAATGCCCAGCCCAGCAAGGTCTTGGGTCTGCTGCGGACACGCGAGGCGAGCAGAGGACACAGAGGACACAGAAAACAGACACGCACAGAGTTTGCCCCGGGGGCCAGGAGGAAGGAGGATTGCCCATCCGTTTGCTCTTGGCTCTTGGCCGTTGATTGTCACCCTCTCTCGTCTTCTTCTCATTCTCATTCACCACATCGCACACTTGGCACAGCATACTTATTAAAGGCCACCCCTCGACCCCACAAACCATGGCCCAGGCATCAGCAGGCTTTGTGCCACCGTCAAACAGACGCACCTATCCACCCCAACCACCAGCACCAGCACCACCACCACAACATCCCCAGCCGCACCAGCAACAACCGTCCGGCAACATGATGGCCCACTTTGCCTTTCCGGCACCCCCACACCACCTCTCTCCCTCCTCCCCACTGCACCCCTCCTTCGCCCCGCAGGCCTCAATGACCCCGCCACCAGCAGCAGCAGCAGCAGCAGTGTCCCGCAACGACCTCTTCAACACATCTTGGTCACCAGAGCTGCCCCCACCCCGCCCACTGGCTCAACAGGCGCGGGCGTCGTCACCCCGCCGAACCCCAGCTCCGCTCTCTGTTGCGTCACTCCCGCCCGCCTTTGCAGAGTCGCGAGCTGCAGCCTATGCAGCGGCAACGTCATCGTCGTACCGCTACCGTCGGCCAACGACGCCGCCGCCGTTCATGTCGCCCCCAACATCGCCGTCCGGGCCGACGCGAACCGGTGGAGCTGGCCCAACGGCCGCCATCGGCATCCCTGGAGCTTCCGGCTCAAGCGCCGTCCTCGACAACGGCCCTATGGCCGACAACTCGGCACCACCGCCTGGTGGGTCCAAGACGAGCTCGTTCTTCGAGTCTGCAGCGGCCGATACGCCGCCCCCAGCGCCGCGCCTGGGCAGCACACTCGGTGCGCCTTCGCCGCTCAGCCTGTCACGAGCCAGCAGTCTCCGAGCCCGCGCCCTTCCGTCATTGCCGTCCCCGCCTCCTCCTCTGGCCGCCGACGACGACGACATTGACAGATTGGGTGACGCTGCTCCGTCTGGTCTGAGCCCCTTGCACCAGTCGCCATCGCTGCCGCCGACAAACACCAGCAACTGGGTCCCACCACGCCCGCCGGCCGCCGACCACATCCAGCTCCGTCTATTCCCCGAACAGACGTATCTGTTGGGGGAAGGGCGCTATGCCCGCGTCTACCTGTCTGCATACAAGCGCGAGGGAATGGGGCCCGAGTGGACGTTGGCAGCTGCGAAGCGGTTGGCGCCAGACCGCGAAAGCCAAACAATGGGCCTGCGCGAGGCCTTCTTCCTCAACCGACTCGGAGCGATGCCAGCGCGCGCCAGCTCCCCCCTCCGGTCCACGGGCAGGAAGGCACGTAACGGTCGCGTCTACGTCGTCAAGCTCATTGCCGTCAAGGAGGCCTCTGAGACGCCGTCACTGTCCCTATCGGCGTACGCGCATACCCGCAGTGCGAGCGACCAGATTGTCGACGGCCCCCCGACGTCTCCGACCTTGGTGAGGCAGCGGCCGCGCAGCAGCACAATCTACGCTTCCAACAGGCAAGAGTCCGGGTCGCACCCAAACCTCCCGCAACTGGCCTACGGCGACTCTCCCAATGGCGGCATCCCATCCCCAGGCGCCAGTGCAAGCCGGCTGGTCCTCGTCCTCGAGCACGCGCCCCTTGGAACCCTCGACAGGTTACTCAGGACGTCGCCGGCGCTCGTGGGGGACCAGCTTTGGGGCAGGTGGGCGCGCGAGGCTGCCGAGGCCCTCGAATGGGTGCATTCGCGCGGCGTCGTGCATGCCGACGTCAAGCCCAGCAATCTCCTTGTAAGTTGTATATTGCTCTCGAGTCGAATCGACGCTGACACACACCTCCTTATCTTTTGCGCTATCTACAAATCCGCGGCCTCCTATCTCTCTCCTCCCTTATCCTCCCTATCCTCCTTTCCCCCTCTTTCAGCTCACTGCCGACCTCCACCTGCGGTTATCCGACTTTGGATCCTCGCTGCTCGTGCACCCGGCGCACCCGCCAACGGATGGCGTGGGACTGGGTACGCTGCCGTTCTCGCCTCCCGAGTTGGTCGACCCAACGAAACCGTTTTCGTTCCCTGTGGATGTCTTCTCCCTGGGCGCCACGCTCTATCAGTGCATCACAGGTCGTGAGCCGTACCGCGGATCTCGGCCTGTGGAGATGATTCTGCACGTCCGCAACGGTGGCCTGTGGGCTTGGGAGGAGAACGAACGTCTCGGCCGGATCGGGACTGCCGACAACACCCCAGCGACCTCTGCGCTGGCCAGCCCTTACCCCTCGGCATGGCACGATGACGCCGTCAACCAGCTCGTCCCGAGCGTGTACCCAGACCAGTCGCTGCGCCGCGCCGGCTCGCTCCGTGTGCCCATGCGCCCATCTCGTGGCGGCGGCTCCAACATGCATGGCCCGCTGTCGACCTCGTTTGAGCGGCCCCGCCTCAACCGCGTCGGCTCGGCAGAGAGCATCAAGGCGAGCGACGACGTTGTGGCCGGTGACAATTCGAGCGAGTCTCCATCAGCCATCAAGCTGTGGCACAACTGGGTCAAGGGCGGCGGGGGCGCGCACCGCAAGCACGGGTCCAAGCTGGGCCCGATCGAGCGCCTGCTACGCTCCGACGACGAGCCGCCTTCCCCGCCCATGTCGCCCAGCTCTGCAGGCCATGGCAGTGCCACTGGCGCAGTCAGCCGCTCGTCGTCGCTCCGCAGCGTCATGTCTCGTGCGCCAAGTCTCAGGTCCCCCACATACCGTAACCCGACCAGTCCCACGGGTTACCTCGTCTCGCCCGCAGGTTCACCGACCGTCCCGTGCCCGCTCTCCGTCAGCCCCACCGCTGCGACGACCGTCGAGCCGTCGCCGGCGTATTCGGACGGCGCGCCAGCCATGTTCTTCCTCGGCGGGGACTGCCAGCGCGTGCCCGACGACGTGCGGGATGTCATTCGTGCCATGCTCGACCCCGTCCCCGAGATGCGGCCCACTGCAAGCGATGTGGTTGGCGCATGGGACCAGCTGTGCGTAGGCGTGGACGAGGACGAGGACGCCGAGGGCGAGGATTGAGCGTGATCGCGACGTCTCGTCGTCTGGGATACCAAAACGTGTCCACGCCAAGACCAAGCTAAATCCCAAAACCTAAATTCAAATACGAGATCCAAATACAAGCCCCCAGCCCAACCCCCGCCCGAGACACGACGACCGCCCAATTCATGTCTCATTCTGACACGCGCGCGTCCAACAACCTCCCGCACCTTCCCACACCTTCCTACACCTTCTCAATTCTACTCGGCCTCCCTCCATCGCCATTTGCCTGTCCGCGACACGACCCGCCACAGAAACGTCAAAGCACAGCCCTTGCTAGCCCTTTTTAACGCCAGCCCCCTGCCCCCACCGCGCATCCATCTCCGCCAAACTCTCCCTCCCTCCCTGTCTGTCTGTCTGTCTGTCTGTCTGTCTGTCTGTCTGTTTGTCTGTCCTTGTCCTTCTGACATGTTGTATCACTACCTGCCTACACACCCCATGCCCCTCTGGTTGTATTGTGCCCCGGAAATATACATACATTATGCTATCTGTCATGGTTGCCATGCTGAACGTGCCGTTGCGAGGGGGTGTGCCTCTGTGTGTGTGTGTGTGATGTTGTGCTGTAATATGGGTGCTAATGTGGCTGGTTTGTTGACATTGCGCGCGCGCACATGTGGTCAAATGAACGCGCGCCGTTATGTGATCATGTGATATGTGGTGTGGTGCCGCCGTTTATATGGGTGAAAGTGAAGCGTGGATGCGGCGTGATGGTGCCTCGACGCGCACGTCGTCAACGGTGCGGCACGGCTGTGGGACCTGGGGGGGGACCTGGGGGATGATGGCTGTTGGGGTACGGGGGTGTGTCCGATGGGTATGGTGGAGGTGGCCGAACGGACGCCGCACGAGCGGCGCGAGCGGATGTGCCATGTGCCATGTGCAAGGCCTCTCTCAGAAACCAAAGATGTCGTCCATTGCGTCCTTCTTCTTCTTCTTCTTCTTGTCCTTGTCCTTGTCCTTGAGACTTTTGCCAGTCTTGGGTTTGTCCTTGGGTCCGCCCATGCCGGCAGCGTCCACAGCCGAGTCTACATTTTTACCCTTGGCCTTGAGCTTGGGCGTGGGCGAGGGCACGTCGGCAGCGCCAGTGCTACCGAGCGCGCCAGCGTCGCGTTTGCCAGCTTTGCCGCTTGCCTCGGCAACAGCCGGTCCAGACGCGATCGCGCGTGATGAAACGGTGGCGGCGGTCGTCGTCGTTGTCGTCTTGCCGTTTTTACTCTTCTTGCTCGCCATCGCCATCGACATGGCCATGGAGCTTGAGCTCGAGCTGGCGTTCGCGCTCGCGCTCGCGCTCGACGCCTCGGCGGCCTTGGGGCGCTCCCACTCGGCGGCTGGGTCCCGATCGACGACGCTCATGCGAGCCTTTTTGCGCTGCGGTCCCGGCCCGGGACCGTCCGCCGCATCGGTGTCGCTGGCACGGCCCGCCGCCACGGACACGGACGACGAGGTCGCCAGCCCTGAGATGGGCTTGTCCGTGCTGAGGACAGCCTGGCGGCCAGCCTCAAGCGCGAGTGAAGGGTGAGGCGACGAGGGGGAGCTGGAGCGCGACTCTGAAGCAAGCGGCGCGCGTTTCGCGATGGAGGTGTCCGTGGCCACGGATCCCGGTCGGGAGCGAGGAAGCAGTTTTTGTTGTTGCTGTTGTGGTGGTGGGGGGCCCGACTTGGCCACCGGTGCTCCTCCAGATACAGTTGCTGGCTTGCGTTCGATACGCTCGCCGACTTCCACTGCCGCGAGCCCGTTGTCGAGATGGACAGTGGCATCGGCGGTACCTGCGGTGTGCGAGGGGCGAGAGCTCGAGGCGTTGGTTGCAGCCTTGCCGGTCAGTAATGCCGCTTGGTCGAGGCCGTATGACGCCGCGAGGTGGAGGACGACAGCCAAGAGGCGTGCGTAGGACGCGAGCAGAAGGGACTGGAGGGGCACAAAGTGGTGCAGCTGGAGCATGCGGTTTGTGGACGCGGTGGCTGCGATGATGGCCTGGACGAGCTGTGGTGGGGGTTAGGGCGAGACCCGTTTCATCCATCACGTCACAACAACAGCGATGCAGCTTGCGAGCGCGCGCGCGGGCGGGGGTCCACCTACCTTGTGGAGGAGCGCTGGGAGTGGTGATGAGCCGGCGTCTGAGGGGCTCAGGTGTGGGTGCGGCTGTTGGTGCGGGAGCGAGTGCGGCGAGTGCGGCTGGGGCTGGTGGTGGTGCAAGGTGCCGAGGGCGGTCCAAGCAGCCAGTGTTGGTTTGCACAGGCGGAGGACATGTGCGGTGTGACGGAGAAAGAGCTGTGCGCGGTGCTGGTGTCTGGAGCGTGTGTAGAGGGCATCGAGGATGGCAGTCTCTGTGTGCAGATGAAAGTGAGTGGAGCTGTGCACGTGAGGGATGTGAGAGGCAGACATGGGGAGGGGAGGGGGGATGTAGGAATGGGGAACGGATGGATTGGGAGGAGTCGAACGAAGAAAAACATTGGGAGCTGCGGGACGAGACAGATGATCATCCATCCATCCTTTTTCATTTTCCGCCCCACCCAGGGCGGCGGCGGCGGCGCGTCCTCGCATTTCGTCAGTCTTCCTTTTCGTCGTCCTTGTTATCTCATTCTCTCCCTCCCTCTCACTCACATCCATCTCCCATCGCCTCATCGTCGCTATCCATCTCCCCCTCCTCCCCCTCCCCCCTCTGGTCTTGTTCACACATCTTGTCTCCCCCCGTTACTCCCTCATACACAGTATATACCCGCCGTCCCCATCCACCAGCTGCCACCCGCCGTTACTCACCGTGTCCTCGCCACCCCTCTCGTCGCCCTTCCATTCTTCCCTTACGCGTCGAGGCGTCCCTTTTGCAAAGCGGTCCTTCCTCCCCCCTCCGCCCCACACGCCACGCACCCACCCCGCAGACACTTTGCAGCAACATCGCTTCATTGTTCTGCCTGCCCCCCCCCCCTGTGCATCGCACTCCCCCCCCCCTCCCTCAGCAGCATAGCAACCCTGGTGCGCGCACGCGCCCCGCAAGCACGCTGTACGGATGGACTCTAACGGTGAGTTTTTGGGCCTACACATACAGTACACACACGCGCTGGCCACACGGCATGCACGCGCGCGCGCGCGCGCGTGCTCGCATGCCGCCGCCGCCGACGCCGCCGTGTCTCGTTTGCAGCGAGCGAGCGCTGCAACCAAACATCCTGCATCTGGCTTCCCCTCCCCCTCTCTGTGTCGCATCTCCCGCCAGAACCCGCACTGACCCACGCGCGCCTGCTTCTTTCGACCCCCGCCGTTTTTACGTGCATCCATTTCTCTTCGTCGACCATCCTCATCTCATCTCGTCGTGTGCATCCATCCTCCATCCATCCCACCCACACGCACCTTTTCCGCCTCTCACTCCCACCCTCATCACCCGCCTCCGCCTCGCCCCCTCCAGGCCGGCATCGCACATCCATCCCGGGGTCGTCGACGTTCCGGCGCCTTCCGACCCTCACGCGCTCACCCTTTCGTCGCGCCGACAAGAGCGCATCCTCGTCGCCAGACCCGTCTGTCGAAACGGTCACACGCACATCGACGTTTCCCAGCCTCGCGCGGGTTGTCGTAGACGACTCTTCCTTGTCCTCGGCCCTCTTTGGAACCCCCATCCCCGCCATTGCAGAGGACCCAGGCTCACCCCAGCTCTCCTCCACGTCGTCTTCGGGTCTTCGCACAACCGGCACATCCCCCGCCGTCGCGTCTCAGACAGACCTCGGCGCGCCCCAGTCCATTCCTGCGCGTGCATCCAGTCCATCTGGCCTGTACCCGATCCCCTCACCGGTGCCCTACAAGCCCACGCCGCCGCAGCCGATTCCACACCTCCCGGCTAGTGCTGTCGCGCCTACCGCTCCCGGTTTTGGTCTCGAGCCCATCACATACCCCGCGCGTCTCGCCCAGACCACCCGCCCCGACGGGCCAGTTGCATCCACGTCTCCCTCAAGTGTGGTTGGAAGCGCGTCGACAGGAACTTCCCCCGTCGGCGCAAGCATCCCTTCCCCGTTACCCCCACCGTCCCAGGCGCCCGCCGTCCCCGTTCGCAGCGCCCACCGGTACCGCGACTTTACACTCGGATCCAGCCCCGCCGCGCTGGCTTCCGCAATGAACCTCGCAACATCCAACCTGCCCATGCCATCCCCAGCTCCGTTTGGCGGGGCGGTGGCGGCAGCGGCAGCAGCAACGCCAACCACCCCGGTAGTACGCCAGCCATTGGCGGCGCATCAGCAACCCCAGCAGCCGGGGCCGTGTCCGGCGCGACTCCGGCCATTGGTGGTCCCGTCGACCCGGCGCTGCTCGCAAGCAACAACACTGGCGGCTCGGCCCCAGCGCCGCCTCCCGTGCCGGCCGGGACGCGTCGATCCAGCCAGTCTGGCGGCCGCAAGTCGAGTGTCTCCAACGCACGCCGCGACAAGGGCGACGCAGAAGACAGCACGGACGAAACTGGCAAGCGTCGTCCCACAAACGACAGCTCTGGGGGCGGCGCAAGTACAAGCGGCACCCGAGTGCGCCGCCCTCCCAAAGCCCGAGAGCGCGGCGACGCGACAGGCAACGCGGACGCCGACGCCGACGCCGTTCTCACACCGTTGCTGCCCTCTGCAAAGGTTCCCCGAGCGCCGGCAAGTGCCATGTACTTTTCGCCCGTCGCAGCGCACGGACGCCCGCCAGCACAGGCTCTGCGCGCACACACTGGAACGCTCGTCGGCGACCGCATATGGTTCCTCGGTGGCGTGGATGCGCGGAGCTGCTGGCGCGGCGTGGCCAGCTTTGACTCGGAGTCGTTGCAATGGTCGACGGTCGAGACCCACGGCGAGGCCCTGCCGCCACTTCGTGCCCACACGACGACCCTTGTCGGCGAGCAACTGTACATCTTTGGCGGCGGCGACGGCCCTACATACTCCAACGACGTGTGGGTCTTTGACACTGTCACGCACCGCTTCTCGCGACCAACAATCGCTACCCCGCCCAAGTCGCTGCCTCCACCACGTCGCGCACACACGACGGTCCTGTATCGCAACTTTCTGGTCGTCTTTGGCGGCGGTAACGGCCAAGCAGCGTTGAACGATGTCTGGGCTCTGGACGTGTCTGACCCTGCGCGCCTGACATGGCACGAATGGAGGACGCACGGCGACGTGCCTCAGAAAAAGGGCTACCACACGGCCAACCTCGTCGGCGACAAGATGGTGGTGTTTGGCGGAAGCGACGGGCACGCAAGCTTTGCAGACGTGCATGTGTTGGATCTGAGTGAGTGCAGTGTGCAGTGTGCGCGCGAGTGAGAGGAGAGCAAATGTCACGCGAGGCGGCGGCGTGTGCATTGGTGTTTCATTGCGGGAGGGAGGAAGGCTTTACCCCCCAAATGCCCTGGGCTGACTCGTTTGCTGCAGAAACCCTGACATGGACACTGGTCAACACGGAGATCAAGCACAACCGCCTGTCGCACACGGCAACCCAGGTGGGCTCGTATCTGTTTGTGATCGGCGGCCACAACGGCCAGACATACGCGCAAGACGTCTTGCTCTTCAACCTGACGACGTTGGCGTGGGAGTCCAAGGCCCCGCACGGTGTGCCCCCGCCAGGACGAGGATACCACGTTGCGGTCCTGCACGATGCGCGCATCTTCATTTCAGGCGGCTACAACGGCGTCAATGTGTTTGACGACCTGTGGGCACTGGACCTCGGTGCGGGGGCGTATCTCCCTCAGGTAGTGAGTAGGGAGGGGGTTTGGGCAGGCTGCCTGCCATGTTTCCACACAGTTTACTGACATTCACCCACCTACAGACATCGTTTACAGTAGACGAGACTGCGGACCACCTGCGTGCTGCTCCCCAGGTGCCGGCCAAAAACGGTAACCGGATCTAGACGGACATTTTTGTTTGTGACAGAGGAGGGGGGAGGTCGACGCCGACGACGACGCAGGGGGGAGGGGAGGACCTGTGGACCACGGGTGGTTGTGAAGGGGGTCGCGCTGTCGCTGATCGCTGGACGGCCTGCGAATAGTCTTATAGTATGCACGGTTGTCCCTTGCGCCGAGGCGACGATGGGTGACGGGATGGGTGGCCGGTGGGCAGTGGGTGTGCCGCGGCGGCGGCCATGAGTGAAGGCTTTGGGTGGGATCCTGGGAGATGACCGAGAGGGCGAGAGCCGTCGTTGTCGTCGTGGTCGGCGTCCTACGCGTCCTGCAGGGCACACCGACAACAGCCCTCGTCGTCCGGCCGGCCGGCGGCGGCCGCAGCAGTGGCCCGAACCTGCCTCTGCCGTCGTCGATAACAGACGAGCCCCCGGAAAAACGAGCACGCTTAAACTCTGCCTTGTCCGTCCGTCTCTGCGCGGGCCGCCGGCCGTCGTTTCCTCCACCCCGCACAAGGAAAGTGGCCAGTGGAGGGCCATGTCGTTGTTTGTTTGTCAGAAAGTGGAGTTGTTCTTGCTTGTGTGATCGCCTGGTGTTCTGGGCCAGCGCTGATCGCATATACAAGAGGCATATCCACATCAACCCCATCATCATCGCCCATCATCATCGCCCATCATCCATCACATCCGGCACAGTGAGTCCAGTGACACGGAAAGTGGCGCCAAGGAAGAAGCCATTTTCATTATCGTCGTCGGTCGTCGTCGCTTGGGTCTCTCTTTTCCCCCACACGTCTACCTACGCCACAGCCCATCTCGCTTGCTTCACAGCCCAGACGTATCTCTCAACCCAACTCCCATCACCACCACCACCATCCTCTTCCTCCTCTTCTCTCTTCCCCTCCACACCCCCGTTGTCCGGCCTCTGGCGCAGCCCACAGCTGCGACGACCGACCCATTTTGCCCAAGCGACCCTTTCCCACCTCCACCTCCACCCGCGGACGAGCCCACGTCCCCTGTGCCTCTGTCAGCACCCACACCGAGGTCACAGCTCCTCCCTTCCTTTGCTCTCCCAAGCGACCAAGCGAGGCCGACCGAAGTTTACCGCGACGCTTGCGTTCCAAGAGAGGAGAGGGTGGCTCGACACACACGCACACACCCACGGCACGCACGACCCAAATTGCTGGTGGCAACGACACGCCTCACTCCCTCTCACTCCCTCACGCTCCACACCACGCTCGGAGTAACAAAATCCGACAGCCGCCTCCTTCCCCCGTTGGTGCTCTTGCGAGCACGACACTACACGCACAGTCCGTCGAACGCAGGCTCCCATTCGGAAGCCGTCGTCCTCGCTGGCAGACACATTCTGCTGCTGCTGCTGCTGCTCGCTCGGCTGTACGCCGACCTTGGCCTGTATTCGGCCCCTTTTGGCTCTCGCTCTGGGTCTTGTCGGCCGGTCGCTTCTGCCTCTCTTCGGTGACCGAACACCGTTCACCGTCCGTCCACCTCTGGGGCCGTCTTTGCTCGTCAATCACAGCTCGTGCATTTCCACCACATCTCCACACATCTCTCCCATCACATCCAGCGAAACAGACGCGTCCTGGGGGCTGTCTCGTGCCAGCAGTCACACCAACCATCGCCATCACGCCGCCCACGCCGCCCAACAGGCTTCCCACTCTTTCGGCTTACTCCGTCGTGCCAGCGCGCTCTACCCTGCGGTGGCACCACCCCCGCACCACATCACACCACCACCACCACCACCGCCGCCGCCGCCGCAGCAGCTTCTGGACATGGACTTTGGCCTCAGTGTCGGTCTTGGGCCCATGGGCGATCTGCGCTCGTTATCGCCCGCGGCATCGTCGTCCATGAGCATCACTCCGCCGGCGCCCGCGACGGCCGCAACCCCGCCAGCAGAAGTGGGCACTCGCCCGCACTGGCCGCCCCAGGCAGCTTCTTCTGCAGTTGCCGCCGCCGGCACCCACCCGCTGTCAGCACCTTCATCGCCATCACCCTCGCCGTCGGCAGCGTCGTCGTCGTCGGCAGCAACGACCCCACAGCATCCCCGTGCCCACTCCCACTCCCACCCCCACTCCCACCCCCATTCCCACTCGCATTGCGCACGTAAGCGCGCAGAACAGGACGGCGAGACGGGTCCTGTGCCCGGTCCCAAGCGCCGAGCCAGTCCACCAAGCACCAGTGCCGCTGCAATGGAGTACACCAGCCCCCACCGGCGCGATGCCGAGCGTCAGCGCGAGCGCGAGCACGAACGCAAGAGGAGGTTGCCGGGAACCACCCACAGCGTGAGTCCTGGCACCACCTCGAGGATCCCCCGGCCCCTCTCCCGCGGCCACGGCCACGGCCCACACGCAAGCATGTCGAGCATGTTCTCCTCGAGCGTGTCCGTCTCCGCTGCACCAGAAGTAGCCCAGTCCCCGTCGTCTGGCGCTGCTTCGCCGTCCTCGTCGTCCAGCTCGCCGGCGGCCACGCCGACCGCAGAGATTCCCGCCGCTGCCGCCGCCCACCACCACCGCCGCCGCCAGACATTTTCCGCTCCACACCAATCGCCCCCAGTGTCCCCTACGACAGCCATGTACAACATGGCCCACCCGCTCACCGGTGCGATCAACGAACTGGGCGGGTTTGGCACGAGCGAGATGTATTCCCGCCCCATGTCGAGGGGCCTCGCAGACGAGCATATCGAGGAATGGGGCATGCTCACTGACATGGGCCCCCTGTCGCGGTCGGACCTCTACTCGGTGCGCAGACGGGCCCCCGACGCCGACGACGACGGCGGCGAGGGGTGGACAAGGTATCGGCGTACCAGTGGGACGAGCACTGCCGAGAGGACATCCCCCATGCATGCAACGGGCAGTGCATTGTCCACCAGCAGCACCGGCGACGGCCACAGCTACCACCGGCCGACTTTGGAGCCGACTGCTCAAAGCATCCATCGCGGTGTGACGTCACCGCGCTTCCCGCAACCGGCGCACCCATCGTCCACCCATCACATTACGCCGTTTGTGTCGTCGCTCTACTCGAACACTTCCACAACCAGTTCCACAAGCGATCCGTCACAGATATACGCTGCATCGCCGCCAAGGGCTCCTGCTCCTTCTGCTGCTTCTGCTCCTTCTGCTCCTGCTGTGGCACAGCCCACGCCCATCGACGTCGACACCGACAGCTCGTCCTCTGCCTCGGCTTTCCGTGCGGCAGTGCGCGCTCGCCACGCATCTGTAGCGGCTGCCCCTGCAGCGCCTCCTCATCCACCTTGGTACAACTTGGTGTCTGACAACGTCGAGGCATTCTGGAGCGTCCCAGGACGCAGTGATCCACCGGTTCCGGTCTCCTCCTCCTCATCCTCCTTCTCCTTCTCCTCGCACTCTCGCGCGTCCTCGACGGCTTCGCCAGTTGCCACCGTGTCCGCCGCCGCCCCCGACGTCGTCACAAGCGCGCAGCGCTACCCCCGCCCGCCGCGCGGACGCCCTGCTCTGCCGGCCCTCCCGCTCCCCTACACGGGCTCGGGTACATCTGCGCCGCCGTTCAGAGGCAGCGAGCTCAGTCTGCAACAGGTGCGACACGAGCACCAGATGCGTACCGTTGCACGCCACTCGAGTTCGTCTCCGGCCGCGGCCGGAGTGACGAGCAGCACGTCGTCGACGGCCACGACAAGCGCACCTGTACGCCCCCCAGCCCTCCCCCGTTTCGACTTTGAGTCCCCCCAGATCGCACCATCGCGCCCCGCTCCCCCTCCCCCGCCACATGAACGTCACCCGCAAGGAGGGCCCAACGACGACTCGCCAAGCCGCGAGCGCCGCTCGCGAGCCGCCCGACACGGCCCGGCTTGGCGCGAGACTGGCGGCGCACCTTCCTCTATGGTCGAAGCCGAGGCAGCTGCTGTATTCGGCGGCTTTGTCTCCGCCTCGGCGCTGGTGGGCGACCCGATACCATCGCAACCTGGTCGGCCCCACCGCGTCCTCCGTGCAGGAATGGGCGATGGCGGCGTGCGCTTATGGCCCAACGACCTCTTCCCTATTGACACGAGCGACAACTTCGACCCGACGCAGGCCAGCGACCCCCTGGGCGGACGTCGCACGTCGATAGATAGGGAGATGGAGATGCGCGCCACCCAGCAGCGCATGTCGAGGAGCCACGCGGACGCGCCAGACTCATCCATGTGGCGGACCATGATCGACCGGCACGAACGGGAACTCGCGGGCGAGCGCGCACCAAGCATGGTGCCACCTGGCCGCTCTGCTGGTCTGTCGAGCTCGCTTGCTTCCCGCCGTCAACGTCACCACGATGCCGCCCTCGGCCGCGACGACTCTCCCTTGGACTCGTCGCCGCCGCCGCTGCCCAACGTCGCGGGTCCCGGTGTAGCCCGCGCCCACGCTCATGCGCACGCCCACGAGTCGGCGGGACCTGTACCCTCGACCGCGACGCCGGAAGAGCGCGCCGCGCGCTGGCGCCGTGTCTCGACGGCGTTCGAGCAGGCCCTCACCCGTTTCGAGCAAGGCGGCGGAGCCGGATCGCACGACGAGGCGGTCCTCTCGGCGTTCCTCGCGCGCGCCGCCAGCGCTGCTGCTGGTGAGGGCCGGGCCGTGGCTGCCGGCCAGAGCACGCGTGACGCCCTCATGGACACGGCGCGCAGCAGCTCGCGCCTGTACGGCCTGTACCACCACCCCGTCGCCGACACGGCCGCTGCTGGAGGGGACCCCGGCAGCGACAGCGCCGCCAGCGGGTCGTTTGCACACCAGCACCCGGACCTGGAGCCGCGTCACGCCCACGCTGCTCACGCTCTCGCTGCTAACGCCATCCACCACAACCACTATCCGCACGCCCCCCACCACGCGCGTGCAGCCCTCGCACAGGCATACGCCCAGTCCCAAGCGCAGACTGCGCAGTATGCCAACTCGCACTACGGCCAGACGCACCCTTCGCGGCGTGTCCCGTCGCTGTGCGCGCTGACCATCACGCCCGACATGGACAAGACGGAGCGCGCGCGTGTGGTGCGACACATTGCGCGCGTGGTGGCGCGTATGGCTGCGCCGCAGCGTCGGACGCTCGCGGCGAGTACCCTCGAGCGCGTGCTTTGGGGCGAGATGGAGACTGGGGATGGTGGCAGTGATGGTGGTGAGGAAGGGATGGAGAGGGACGAGTGCTGTGCCGTGTGCCAGGACGAGGTGGGTTACAGCTATAATACAAGCGTCGTGTACGTGGCAGCTGACAATATACAGTACGAGGCAGAGGACAAGGTCGCAGTGACCGCCTGCAAGCACATGTACCACGCAAGCTGTCTCGAGGTGAGCCGTGCTGCTGTGTCCTCGTAACCATCGTGCTAACGGCCACCGCAGTCCTGGTTCGCCACTCCCTCGGCGTCCACCTGTCCCATGTGTCGTCGTGACCTCGCCACCCTCGCGTTCATTACCAAAGTCGCGCCAGAGGGTGGCGGCGTGGCGAGGACGCTGTGGATGGAAGCGCCCGCTGACGTGCCCGTTTCCCGCAGCATGTTCTGAGGCGGGTATGGAGGGTGCAGGTCATCTATCGACTGGCTGTCTAGTTGGCATGGGACACTGGTGAGCTTCGGCAATCATAGACCGTCAGCTGACAAGCAGAATGTCCCGCGTCTTCTCCTCAAGCACACCGTTCTCATGCCGTGCTCCTTGCTCAAGTCATCCACCCCGTCTCCACTCTGGCACCTTGGGCCCACCCCCTACCTCCTACCTCCTCCTCCTCCTTCATACCCTCGCATACCACAGGCCCACCCCCCACCGTAATCTTCACAACAGTGACCATCCGCCAGTCTCACAAGTCATCGCATGTCCCAACCTGCCCAACGTTCCAATTACATCAGCTTCATGACAGAGCGTTACGATCTACCGACCATCCATCCAGCTTCCAATCAGTTCTGTGTGTCTGAACAATGTTGATGTGTCCTGTGCCTTCCCTTTGAGATGTATTGAACCTGTAACTCCCTGCCACCGCCTGCGCACTTTGCACATGGTGGCTTTCACTTAATCTCACTTTTTAACCTTTTTTTATTCTTGCCCTGCAGATCCAGCATGCTCGCCCGCTTGCCTCTTTGGATCTCTGGACACACGCCCCCCAATGTTCTTACCCTCCACCTCTAGGGAAGTGGTGTTTGTTTTTGCGTCCACCAGTGTCCCGAGCGTATGCCAGAAAAAGCACACCTCCATCACAAATAAGGCATATCGGATCACCCTTCTATTCGATGCTAGAAGACACTGCCCCTTTGATCTCCTTGAATGCGTTGCTATGCCCTGTCTCCCGCCTCCCCAGGACAGGCCAGGAAAGGACAGGACACGACCACTGACACTCACCCACTGACCGCCATGTCCGCCTGGGTCGAGCGACCCTCCCCACTCTGTTCGTTTCCCGGGTTCACTCCCTCCACGGCGGCGCAGCGCCACGCAGTCACTACTGCACGCCCCTAAGCAAGCAAGCCCTTTTTGCATAGACTCGCCCACGACGATGGCGACGGCAACGGCAACGACGACGACGGCGACTACGGCCAGAACCGAAAAAGGCGCCAGCCATGGCACCACCAACCAACGCCACCCAGTCCGGCGCGCCCGAGCTAACATTCGTACACTGCCAAGCCATTCGCCACATCCCCGGGCACTTCACCAAGCCGACATGTCAGGTTCAGGTATTGGTGCTGGTGCGGGGTTGCCAGGTGAAAGTGTGAAAGAAAGGCGAAGAAAAAAACAAGGTTACTCGCGTCTCGGCGCGCACGCCGCCGCTAGTAGCTAGTGACAAACCCCACAAACCCTCGCCCGCCGCAGTATTTTGACAATGCCAACATGTTCTTTCCTCATCGCCCATGCCCTTCATGTGTGGCTGGCCCCTGCGCTAGACTCACAACGACGACGACGGCGACGGCGACGACCACCACCACCACCACGGCCACTTTGGCTTTTGGCTTCTTCGCTTTCTGGTCCTGGTTCTGGCGCTGGTCGCTCGCTCGCTCGCTCGCTCCCGGCTCGCTCGGACGACGGGGAAGACGGTGGGGACATAGGACGATGGGACGACATTGGAAAAGCACACACAGTGCCCTGTGATCCTGTGTGAGGGTGTTGTGGCTGGGGCGAGCACGCTAGCGCGGGGTCCGCCTGATCGTCGTGCTGGTGGAATTGGTGGACTGAAATGACGAGAAAAACCCCCCACAGGCTGGGACGCCGAGACTGCGACGGACACGGCGGCGGACGCAACGGACGCAACGGACGCAACGGACGCAACGGACGCGAATGTATGCCGGTCGTAGAGTTCAATGAGGCGTACAGGTCCCCCGTCGCGCCGTCGCGGTGCCGCGGCGTCAACAGACGGCATTACAGTCCACCGACCCGCCCGCCGCTCGCCGCCCGTCCGTCGTCCCGTCCGACTGGACGGGGATGTCCTGCATCGACGCCGAGTCTAGCAATTGTAGGTAAAGGTCGGCCGTATCCAGGCCGTACTCGCCGTAGAGTTGAGTTCCTGGGGTGCAGGTGTTTGTTTGTTTGTTTGCTTGCTTGCTTGCTCGCTTGCTTGTTAGTCGCGTCTCGGACCGGCGGCGAGGGTATAGAGTCTCTCCTGAGAGCGGCGGCCGGCGGCCGACGGCGCGAGTATGGCCCCGAGCGGCGTCCGCACTCTCTCCTGCGCACCTTGCGCAGTAGAACCCGGTCCCAACGGACTCGGCACCGCGCGTCCGGTACAACGCACGGCATATCGTACCATCTATGCATGCCCATCCCTCGTCAGCGGCGGCGGCGGCGGCGGCGCTGTGAATGAGGCGTGTGGCCGGAGATGAGCCCGGCGCCTCATCCACTCTATCTACCCTTGGCCACCATCTGACCTGAGACTCATGACATTCAGCACAGACCTCTGCTTGACCATGTTCAACAGCAACGGTGACGCTGCTGCTGTTGGCGTCGCTGCCGCATTCCGAGGCGACATTATCGGAAGAGACCGATGGGGACGACGCGCTGCCCCGGAATCAAGCCAGGCCGCAGGCCAGGATGGTCGACGCCGCCACCCCCAGGAATGTGATGCGGGGGGGGGAGCCTGCCAAACCTGGATGCGAGGACCGTGCGCGCAATGGCCGTAGTCCATACGCGGTCCTGGGAATCCTGGGTTTGTCTCGTGTGGGACCGTGTCTACGCAATGAGATTGAAGGGTGGCAGCGACCCCAGAAGCATCGACTACGGCTGGCAGCAAGGTCCTCGGCGACCATGTCAGGAGAGAAGAAGAGGCTCGTCTTTGAAGGTGTTGGTTTGAGGGAACCAGTGGGCAGGGAACCGGGAGCAGGGAGCAGGTTGTTCGGTACGCATTAGGGGTTGGCGCAGACGGCGCATCGTCAGACGCATGGTGTCCTGGCCAGTGGGAGAGATGGCGACCGTCAGCTTGTCAGTAAAGTGAGTGAGCGAGTGTGGCAGTAGGCGTGTGCCACAGCGAGGTCAAAGCGGTGAGTTCAACGTGCGCCCTTGGGACAGGTGGGTCAAGCCGCCAAAGTCCACCACTACCCAAGGTTTTCTAAGCCAAGTGGAGAGTGTACTGTAGGAGCGTCTGTGAACGGGGAAGAGAGGTGAGGAGGACCAGACGCTGTTGACACCGCTGGCACCCACTCCACTGGTGGGGTACACTCTCTCCAATGATCAATGAACTTTGCGGAACATCCCCCTATGTCGCGCGATCTCACGCATTGTCGGACCAGATCCGTCAGAGATCCCGCGCCATCTTTGTTGGAGCTAATGGGGAGGGCCGGTGACTAACCCGTTCATTTCGCGGCTGATAACAGACAGGTGACTACTGAAAGACAGCGGGAGTGAAGGAGGATGGGTGCCCTGCGCTCCAACGGTGTCAATTGACCGTGTGGTGTGGGTCCACATGGGTACACTCTCTAGTAGCTAGTACTCTCTGCTCTCTGGCGGCTATGCACGTGGATATCCACAGTCCCAAATGATGCAAACTACGGTTCTGCTGACGCTCAGATCTATTCGTAGAGCAGCGAATGCCCTCTGTGCCGACTAGCGGATGAAAGTGGAGTGGGGTGGCGCTGGCTCGATCTCTCACGTCATTCCAGTCGACGTCTGCCAGATCTCATCTCGACGACCCGCGCGTCTTCGTCCAGCCAAAGGTCACGAGGAGTGCGGGTGATGGGCAGTGGTGATACAGTCTCCTGCAGCGGTCCATATTGTTCCAGGCCATCCCAGATCCCCAGAACCCCTCTCATCTTGCATATCACCCCCACACTCGTCCGCGATCGAAATTCCCCGGGGTACACATGGCCATCACACAAGTCGGTCATGTCATGAGCGACGGGTGCGCAGTGGGGGGGGGGGGGGGGGGCCTTGCAGTCGTACTAGCGGCTCTGGGATCTTTGATGAGATCTCGGGCCCATGCCATGGGCCAAGCGGCGCCCCCAGATCTGTTGGTGGATATGGGATGATATTCCTACTGGCACGGGCTGCCGTAAGTCGCCACCAGTCGTAACTGGTTCAGGCCTGTCAATTGCATTACACTCCCTACGGACCAGACCAAACCCTTGTGCTCAATGCATTGGAGATCTGGTTTCACTCTGACACGGGCTGGCAAGGAACGGTTATGCCAAGTCGGTTGGGTTTGTAATCAGTATAGCAATACTTCACGTCTCTGTAAGTACTGTACGCCTCGAGAGCAGCATAGGAACTCGCAGGACACATGGTGAAGGGGTTCGAGGTGCGGCTCCAATGTTTCGAGGGGAGGGTGTATCGAAATGCAAGCGAACAGGCGTTGAGGCACAGCTGTGCCTATGAAAGATTCAGAGGACCTGTTCAGTTGGCCATCCTTCACACGGGCCATTGTAGCACGCTCTCCCGCTTGCTGCTGCGGCGATGGAGCCGAGACGATGCACGACATCACTCGCCACCAAACACAGCCGGCTGCTGACAAGTTAAAAGCGTGGCCGTCGGCCTGGCACCTGTCCACAGCAAGACAACGCCAAGTGGAGGTTCCAGCAGGTCACCACATGCTGCCACGGTGTCGGGACGTACGTATCATACGTACTAGCCTGCATGTCCCCTCTCTGCCTGCCTGCTGCTAGAGTTTCGAGTCCCAGATTCCAGTGTCGAGAGCCCTGATATGCGCGCGGAAAGCCAGCTAAAAGGTGCGGGAATGGGGCCAACGTACTCCACTCGCCAACACGCACGCACGCAGTGTCCTGCAGGTTTGTCGAGTGGGAATTTACGTACACGCGCACGCCAGTATAACCTGCTAACTCGAGATCTTGGCTGCAAGGGGGGGGTCTAAGCAAGGGCTGGAAAAAAAACAACGGGGAGAGGGGGCGATTGATGCAAAGAGCAACCTTTGCTGGACATTCAGAGGCGCTGCCATGGAGAAATGTGTACGGGAAGAGTGATGCGGACAGGACACACGGTACATGGCGGGACAGTACGAGGATCTGGGTATGTGTCCTGAGAGAGCGAGCACAAATGCAGGGCCATGGAGAGAGACTTCGGAGCCTCGTTCGGAGGAGTATGTA